CTGGAAAAAACAAAAAGTTGCAACAAATCTGCATATGAATAAACATGGTCGGAAAAGGGAGCATAAAAAAGATGCGCCCTTACCCATTGACAATGATTTCACGAACAATTTGGATAGTATTAATCATTCCCTGGGCCATTTGCGGTTCCATGGCATCCGTGAGAGTCTTGGCAACACGCCAAGCGTCCTCAATACTCGATTGGGCCAACTTAAAGTGAGCCACAGAGATGCCAAACTTCATCTCAGCCGCATTGTCACTGGCCAAAAAGAAATCGACCAGACTGGCGTAGTAGGACTTCTTTATCGATAAGATTCGCGTCCAGTCCTGTGAGTAAACAAAAAGAAATAATGACAAGTAGCCAAGCTGCCAAACTTTGATTGTGACAGAGCAATACAGTGTTATTGAGACTAGTGCGCATGTTTGGAGTCATGTGAGACGCCTGCATGAACTGATCACCCTTTTACGTCATCAGGGCATAGAAAGATTTCAAAATTTGAATTTAGGTTGCTGAGAGATTCACAAGATGTTCAAGAACACTATCAAGGGTACACGGTGGATTCGCAGATCCATGCGCGAGAAAATGAGATATTGTCATCCAACCACAGAAGATCATAGTCTATAGTCGAACATTTGAAGTAATGTGCTAGTCAGGTCAATGGAAGATTCGGAAAGATCGTCTTGAATTTGTACTGGGGATGTAGGGGAGATCCACAGCTCTCAATACGAAAAAATCGTATTTATTGTTTGCATTTAGCGGAACATAAATTTTGTTCCACCAAAGGCAAACGACAATAGAGGTGACTCCTATGATAGTTCTAGAACTGCGAACAGACCGCACGACAGGAATCCAAAACATCTCTAGCCATCGACATAGCAACACGTGATAAAAGTCTTTGTAAACAAGCCGAGGGAATAAGTGGCTTTAATGCGCAAAAGTGCGGTTCTTATTTCTGTAAGTCGCGGATCGCACGCTCCTGCACTTCGTAGTTGGGTCATTTTTAATGGGGCAATTTACGCAATCAGTGACAGGGACGAACCTTGCGAAATCTGAGAGGCACGTTATCACCGAGAGAGTTCACCATGGAGAGGCACCGACCGTAGGATTCGGCCAGGCACTTGGACAGCTTCGCGGTGATATTGGGCGGCCTATTGTCTGTAATTGACTTCTCCACTATGCATTCCTGGGCCTGGTTCTTTAAGAGGTATAGAAAAAAAAACTGCCTCACAAATTGCCGCTAAAGGTTCGATGGATAACAATAGGACTCTTCATCAAGAAAATTAGATTAAAGCACCAATAACCGCCGACACCGATTCTTTTGATAAACTCTTTGCAATGACTAACCTCACAACAACAAGCAGAAACCGATCTCAAACCACCGCCATTCTATGAGTACAATAAGATAAAACTAAGCTAAAGTGCTTATTTTTTAATGTGGATACGTAACTTGCGTCATTATTCGGTTATTTGCTTAAGGATAAGGTGGAAACTAAACTTTTTACACTGATTGAAGATTCAACACTCAGAGGCCACAATTTAAACAGTAAACAGCATTTCCGGTTACGCCTACTTTTATGTCAGGTTAATCAAGTTTACCCAAATCGGTTTTAAGAAAAGCAGGAAATCAAATTAAACCATGCTACTGGTGTTAAACCAGATTTTTCTTTCAACTAACTTGGTGCAATTTAAGTGGATGTGATTACTAGGCAATCCAGGCGTAAAACCAGAACCCAGAAGAGAAAATTTCGGCAAATAACAAATATTTCAGTCGACACTTGCCAAAGAAATAAGACTGTAGATGTGAAACAGATCGCCAGACATATCATCAGCAGCAGTGAATGACCCATATCGCTCACGCAAGGCTTGAAAAACCCAGGCCGCACACTGGAAGTGGGTACAAGCAACTTTCATGCTCTACAAAGAGTACATAGAGGGAAGAATGACTTTTGTATTGAAGAAAAGTCCCCAAATAGACAAACTGGTGGTAAAAGGTATGTTCAACTTACACCTGCATCAGCACGCGATTCTTTTCGACCAAGAAGTGAATACGCAGCCCCCAGACAATAGAGAATGGCGGCCTCCTCGTAGGTTACTTCGGATCGAACGAATTGTGTTTGATGAAAGGCGTCTTGCCTTAAATACGTAAAATAACAAGATATCCATGATTATGACTAATGTAAGCAGTCATTGAGTTTGTGCCTAGCTCCAACTCAGACGTACCAGGGCCAATCAACCAATTTCGGAGCGGAAAGATCAACTCTGTTCTTCAGCAGTAATAACTGCGCGTAATATCGTTTTATAGCAGTCAGAGACTTCTCATCATTCGGATATTTGCAGCATTCCTACGATACATGCTAAATCAAATACCAATATACCGTTCGAAGCGCAAGGAAATTGCGGAATATATTCTCATCAATAAAAATCTGGTCGCCATAGCGTTTTTTGATTTTCTGAAAGGATGAGTGTTTGCTATAGAAGTTACACAAACTTTTTTAATGGGTGAAATATCTGGGGCTACCGGACTGGATTTTAGGGGAATGATAAACATAGGAATTCTTGGCGCATTATCCATCCTCAATAAAAAAATCCTTTCAAAGTACGCGGCAATGCGTCATGAACTTCAACAATAACTGGGTATACAATTATATTCTAGGTCAAATTGAGATCTGGTTACTGCCTTTTAGTTCTTTAATACAACTTTAATCAGTAATTGAAATTACAATGAGTACCTTGCAGCATGATTGTAGACTACTAGGTAATCATTATACATAAATAAAATATTACACGTTCCGTGCTCTATGATCCTCCCACCTGCTGTTATTAAATAAAAGCGAACTTTTTACTTTTTGGTAGATATGATCTTATTATGCGGAATCCTCAGCACATTAATGTAATTGATCGCGTGGCTCAGCCCCACTCGCCCGGCCCCTTCCTAGACTGACATTAACCACCCCCTACCATTTCATAATGGAACGAAGTACCACCCCAAAGAGCTTTAATCCCTCGGTGTCTTTCAGCTCGAAAAATCTCGAGAGCAAGATCCCCTTCGAGGCGATGCAATAGCCGCTACGGGCAGCAAAGTACTAGACCAAGACGCTAACAACTGATAAGGAACCACAGCGCTGTACCACAACCAGCCAAAGCCATTCAGACAAGAAACTGCATTCGCCAACAATAATTCGAAAGTTAGCAAAGAATGTTCCATGCAAATACACAAAATAGTACCCATAGAGTGGTACAAAAGCCACTGAAGAAAACTGAAACAAAAGAAAGCACGCTTGCAGTGATGGCGTAGGAAAAGATGGTTAGATACAAAATAGGACCGTAGATATAGAAAGAACCGCAGGTGAAATCACAACTACCCGATTGCTCATTGAAACACCTCTAGTATGTCCTCATCGCCAGCCGTTCGGCCTCCACCATCCGGTTGAACGGGAATTTCATCCTCCAGTTCCTAAAGGAGCATAAAGATATTACATCTCTGACAAAGGCATAATTGGAAACTTTTCGGTGAGAATGAGTAGTAGAAAGGAGAACGGATAAAGAACGACTCCCAGCGTGCGAAAGAAAACTATGCATTTGAGTTACTATTAAATCACTGAGTCACTGCTATATTTAGAGCCACCACAAGCAGTTTTTCCGTTTATGTTATTTCCTTCAAGTTGAGAGGAAAAAATAAAAAAAAATGGGAGGGAAGGACAGGGTGAGAATTATATTGGTGACGGGAATTACATCGACAGGACTCTTAGCATCAGCCGTGACGGGTGCATATGTTTCCAAGGGAACGCGCTCGATTGTGGGGTCCTTCTGGATAATAAATTTCTATTAACATAAAATGTTTAATAGGTAAGAAAGGATGCTCATGTAGCAGCATAAATATCAACAAAAATGCAGACATAAAAGCAGACAGGTTGCGCTTTTTCCCAAGCAACGACCTCGTATGATGCATTAAGGCAAGTAAAAGGTGGCACTAATGATAACAATTAACTTCGAGTGACACCTGAATGAAAGTCAATTTGCGAGGAAAAATAAAATGAACTGGAGGGCTCACGTAGCATCGGCAGTGTACATCCCGTCGAATGGCAAAGAAGGTCTACAAACGAAGATAATGTAATAATGTAACATAATAACACACAACACCGATGGAGCCTTCTCAGTTTCCTGTCATGCCACCCCTGTGTCAGTGATCGTCTCCCATTCCTTTTAGCGCTGTAGTGGAGGTGGTGTGGTGGAAAATGTTCAACGTCTTCTTCATTGTTTTTTGCTGATACATCGAAGAAGGTTTAAATTTGAACGGAACAACTCCATACTGTAGGAGAAAGACGACTATTGGTTGGTGGATGAATTTGCGTCGATGATTAATAGCAAACCAGGCAACTGATAGGGCTTAATTTTACCGGTTCATAAAAGGAAGCTCGACGAATTTGTACACAGTAAGAAAGCTGGGAAGGCAACTAGATTAACTAGAAGGGTGACCGAAAGCAGAACGCAACTCTGAGGCGCTACGGTATGCTGCATACCTTATAACACGTTCTCAGCTCTAGCCAAATGTCACAAGGGAAGCAGTTCGCACGCCAAGTGCTCTCGCTCTCGTCTTCATAAAGAGGATGTGACAAATGAAGTCATCGAAGTCTATGGGAGGTTCAAATTGCTAATTTCAAATTTTTCGGATAGAGCTTTGATAGCTGAAGAAAGCTAATCACTTACAACAAAGTACAGATGACGCAGCAAAACCATACCGGATATTAGGCCGACTGACAGTCGCTCAGCTCTCGAGGTGAAAAGTAATGTTCTACTTAAATGCACATTTCAATACCATGGGCAATAAATAAGTATCTCACCAAGTAGGCGATGAAGGCGAGATAGAGGCTAAAGATGGCACCAACCCCGATATAGGCAGCAGGGTGGTTCGTTAGACGCGCTTCGAAAAATATCACCACGAAGAAGAAATTGACCCCAATCACAACCAATGAGATCAGTGTGGATATCACCTTCGAGGGCCTAAAAGCAGATATGAGGGTTAAAACGATTTAAAGTGATATGGTGTGGCGCTTTTTTTACTGCAAATCCCCCGCGTTCGGATGTGTGAGGTGGAATAACGAGAGGGTAGGGAGAAATCAGCTTCTCTACCCCCACCCCTTGCACATTAAAAACGCCCATGAAACAGCAGTGTTGGGGTGTATGCATATCCCACTTGCTGCCGCGCTACAAGACAGGCGCAAGAAATGTCAATGTGTGGAACCGGATTTGACTTGGCCTATACGATAAAATCATACAGCTAGAATATAAGCATGCCTTCCACTTAAACTTCAAGCCAGAAGGACACAGTTAAAAGTGTAAGAAATTACTGAAGAGCCTCCTCTTGTTTCCTAAGATACAGCCGACAAAAGATATGCTCTATCCGTACTGCAATGCAATAATCCTCCTTCTCAAACCAAGAATCTACTACATCTGCCATCGATGCCATTTGAATCGCAATTTAGAACATCCAATCATCATGTGCCAATGGGAACACGTGTTGGATTTGACCTTTACCTAGCCGAAGCAATCGCCGGGTCACAACAAAACGAAATTCGAATGAAGCTGTCAACTACGGCCTTTTGTTCAAGGCACGTGTCCGGATCGATCAGATAAATAGATGATAACGGTGACAACAGCCAAGTTTGCGCTCTGAGTGGTGCATTTAGATACGCTTCCCTAATAAATGAAGTAGAACCTGACAACAGTCTCCATAAGGGACAATTTTAAAGATTTTGAGTAACGATGAGAGCCGCATTGTGTTAGATAAGGTCAATGGAGTACAAACATAGATGAGGGTGCTAAAACTTACAGTGAGTTGACAAACGGTCCCATGATTACCTTTGAGTTTGTAAAGGTAAGCAGTGGAATTACAGCAAAGGGCAGTTGGATGCTCATTAGCACATTGAGTAAATCATTCATCTCCGTCAGATTTTCGATACCTGGGGAAAATAAAAGGGTCATAGCCTCATTTCAATATGGTATGATAAATCACGTGTCGATTGTTTCCAGAAAGACTGCTAAGAAGGTAACAAAGTTCTAGGGATCGTGCAACTGTTGGAGGTATAAAGACAAGCAAAACGAGGACTTTGCAGCTGGTCCAAACATCGTTAATCAAAGTGAGACAAAACAGAAATAGAGTGTAAATTCAATAGCGGGTGATGAGGAAGTTTTGTGTGAAGGTAAGCGTGAAACCTGTGGGCACTCCCATCTACAGAGGGCACCAGTCGTGCGTCGATAAGACGCTCAAAAACTCATACCACAAACAATGAAGGTACCAGTTGTGATGTTTCCCATTGTACAACACAGAAGCCATCCCCGCTAGTATTCAGCCAGAGGGTTGAAGGCTCGATCTCGGACGTCTGATCGTCAAACAAATTATGGGGGGAGGGGGGAAGGTCGCAAAAAATGCGCACGGGAGGCCATACTCATTTGACCTCCCTACGCAAAGTATGAATGCTGCTCTAAGTTGCAGGAGGGTTCTGACAGAGACGGTAAGTACTTTTCTGGATCACATCATTACATGTGAGGGGATATGGATAAAGCGTTTCATCCCGGGGTTAAGCTGAGTAGGCAAGGTATAGAAGCACGAGAAATTTAGGGCTTTAAAACCCATTGCAAGCTAACCAAGGATACTTTAGCAATACTGACAAATCTTCCCATGCAGGGGCTTTCCATGCATTAATTAAACGCCCCTGTCTGTCTCTTGCGAATTCAAAAGTTCCAGCTTGAATCGAGCATCCCTCGTATCTACTCAAAATGCCTACTATCTGACATACCTTCGAAAAACGTGATAAGGAGAGTGGGCAAAATGGCGATAGAGCGGGTAACAAGAAGCTGCTGCCACTTTTTCCACCGCAGATTGAGAAATCCCTCCATTGCATATTGACCGGCATATGTGCCGGTCATGGTAGATGACTGACCAGCCGCCAGCAGACCCACCGCCCACACGTAGAGCGCTACGATTCCGAACTCACAGCCCAGAAAGACGCCCTATTGAGTAGAGAGTGCTAGGAGTACTAGAGTTAATAAAGCGACCGAGGAAGGTTTTCGGGGTTTCCGAGGCTTACTCCCAAATAGAGGTCGACTTGGGTGGCATCGAACTTTCTTGCGGTTTCAAGGAAGGGCTCGGGTATTTTCTGCCACGCAGAGCAGTTGTTAATCTAAGAAAAAACTGAGTCTGTAAGTTATTCCAAAAGTGTTGGGTCCTGTCAAATCTGTACAAAGTGGTGGTATGTGCAAAGAGTGCTTAACTTAGAGAGAAGCATATTTCAGTGATCATGTCAAACTACACACATGACTGATGCCAAAGAGAAAGAACTCACAACTTCTATGATATTCTTGCCGTAGAATCCCTCACTGAAAACGGCGACAACAAAGACATTGATTACGAGAGATATGCTAAGAGCGACACAGGCCTCGATAAAGAAGTAGAAATTCGCGATCGCAATCTGTCAGCAAGAGAAGAGGCAAAAAAGACATAAATATTACCCCACCAGAATCCTGAGACATCGTTGCGTGTGCCATTTACACTTGTGGGCATGAATAGGCGCTCGTGATACGACAGTGTTACAGCGCAGCTACTATTGCTGAACGGATCAATTAGTTGTCATAGAGCGGCAAAAAATGCATACCACCTATTTACAACGCCCAACTCAGGTAATGAGCTTGATAAGACTATCGTGGTTGCCCTCTCAACTTCGATTTTACAGAATGGGATAAGTTGGCCTGGATTCAAAAAGCATCGCATTGGGAGGAGAGAAATTAGATTGAATTCAGCTACTTGGGCAAACATGACTATCGTGCTGGAGTGAATGGCTGGTAGTAAGGAATGTGACTGAAAATACACTCAACTAAACGAACCGAACGATTGACCTTTCGATTAACATCGCGAGATTTCACCAAGGCAGAATGAAGATAGAAGTTATGTGGCATAATAATGGCCCCGATTATGCCGACTGCCTGCTCTAGCTCTGGCCAGCCGCAATTGGTACAGGAAGGCACGAAAAATCCCTTAAGCACCTTTGCCTGGTTCGGTGCGACTACTACGTACTAAAAAAGGAAATGCATATTTGAACTGCGTTTGTCCACGTGAGGACCATTTGTCCCTCGCAAATTTAAAACAATGTTGGTGACACAGAAGTGTTCACATATGGCGGGGGACTTTTCAGTCATGCTGAATGCATGATAATAAACCAATCTCTAGATTCACAAAAACTTGCAGTCTTCCAGAATATTTTATTAGATTCGAAGATGAAAAAAGACAAGCGAGTATTGAATTGCGTTGAAATTTAAACAACTTCCCCATCAAAACATATTACGAGCAACATCTACCAAAAAAATTGAATTTTCACCTCATATCCGAAGGTTATAGCCATTATGGAGATAAGAAGTCCGAAAAATAGCTCCAATTTACGAAGACCGTAGTTATCAATGAGCAGAAAGGTAAGCGTATCCAAAATGGTAATAAGGACACCACCCCAAAGGGGTACCTTCCCCATACTAAGAAGATTGATTGCGATAGAAGTGCCGATGACCTCCTAGGTCCAAAAAATCCGAAGATCGCTGTAGAATGAATACATTTCAAAATGAACTAAAGGGGGGAGGAGGTTTTAAACTTACTTGCATGTCGGATCCGATAATGGCGATTTCAATCATCAGCCAGAGAATAATGCGGGCAGGTTTGGGGTAATTTTCATAGCATACTTCGGCCAAGTGCTTTCCGGTTACGACTCCAATACGAGCCGCTAATCGTTGCATGACCAGTCCCATTACTGTTGCCAGAAAGAGGAGCCACAGCAACTACGAGAAAGAACCCATAAGTAAACCCCTAAAATATACTTACGCGATAATTTGCCACGGCACCACTTTGTAAATCTGACTCTATATTACCGGGATCTAAATATGCGATGCTCATTAGGAAGCCAGGACCAGTATACGCCCATAACGTGCGGAAGCTGAAAGTTCGCCAAACCTGGAAAGAAGAATGCTGATAAGTACAGGAAGAGAAAAATACTGTATGACAATTTTTACCTACACTTGGAACTTTGCCTTCAGCAGATCTCCGAGAACGGTTTGGCAACGAACCATTCGGTCGTTCTGTTGAACCAGTGTCTGCAGGCCTTACTTCAATTTCATCCTCAAGGAGGGGGTGCGAATCATCGACACCTAATCTTGGAAAGAAATTACCGAAAACTTACTATAGTTGGTGTAAGCCAGATGCATAGCCAAACAAACCGATAAACGGTGTGGCTAAGCGCACGTAGAATGATTGGGCAGATTTGGTCCTTTGACCTTATCAGAAAAGTGTTAGACCAATGAGAATGATAAATGTTAAGGCAAAAGTTTTCGATATGTACAGGGAATAAATCATTAATGGGTCACAAAAAAGTACTAATTCGATGATTTTTAGTCAAAAATTCTGCAATTAGACTATCTCAACTTGACCAGAAACACAGACCTTAGAAATCCTCTTGGAAGTAAGCAAAAACCAAGGCAAAAGTTTTTAACAAAATCGAGCTTATACCAGAAAGCTTAAATAGTAAGAAAAGTAGGAGTCGTTTTATTACACGAGTGCATGCTAACTTTGCTTAGCAAGTGACGAAATTAACATCTGTTAATTTCAAAGTGCTCAGTACGGTATTGCTCGTTACGTACGTCAATTGCAAGGGACTAAATATAAAAGAGGTACTACAATTTCTATAACCTGGTTTGTCGGCGCGGCTTCAAACCGCCCTGGATGCTCCTGTGAGGTCGCTCACCCCAATAAATGTCGTTCCACTAATGTGCTACAATCATCATGAAGAAATCCCATCCACCGGCGGAGGGCGTCTTCAAATGTTCGAAATGCCAGTTTAGTGTGAAGTTTGATGATAAAGGCTCACGTCCGCGTTACCTAAAACCAGATATTGTGTAAGTTTTATGTAGAGACTACTCTTTAGTCTTCTCGAAGATGGGTACATAATGCGCGATCCTTTTGTCGATGGCGGATCTGGCGGAATTATCATTGGCGCTGATTGTTGCGTGTGTGACGAAAGTGTTTGTGTCTCGCCCGTAGGTTATTCTAATTTTCGGTAACTAGAGATAGGAATGCTCATTCTTCTACGCAAAACGATATTGTAGGGACTGTGCCACTAAGAACCTAGACCACTTCCCAGAAGAAATCCACAAGGTACTTATAATCCTGTAGTAATTCTATCCTTTCAGGAACTTCTACGAAATCTCAAAGAGCATTGATGCAGAGACGCAATCCCGAACTATATCTAGGCCTTCTTATTCTATCATGTACAGAACTTTGTGAATTTGTTTCAACAGTACCGCCATGCTCCAGTTTAATAAGTTCGCCTCATGTGCTCACAAGATAAAGGCACGGGCTTCAGCTGCCAGTACACGATGCTCTGTAAATTCATTCGCGCTAAAAGATTTGAAACCACTTTTCTCTATCATAATGGGTAGGTCGAAGCAGACGAATGAGAATAGACACCGAGTATATTGACGAATACACAAAACGACCCGGAGTTCTAAAGTCTAACTTTGCTGTAAGAAAGACCAAATACACGGGTCAAGCGCCGCATCTGTCTGCCCATCCTTTGCGTTTTCGCAAGAAGAAGAGGAAGGAGATGAGAATGGATTGGTTAGATCCACATTATCTTCGCACATTTTGATATTTGCCGCCGGGGGATTGTTCTTCATATCAGCCTGGATTCCACTAAGGAGGCAGTCCAGTTCAGGACCGAGGTCTTCAAAAGATACAGAGGTGCCACCGGTTGGGGGTAGGTCGGAGGAAATCGCTTGGACAGCAGTGGAGAGCGTTTCATTGGCGCGAACGAGATATTGTTCGCCTAGGTGCACCGTTTCTCTGGCAATTTTCACCTGAAAAAAAATGGGTTGCAGCTCCCACTGACGTCATAAGGGCAAAACCTTGCGGTAAAGGAAACAACTATAACTATTTAGGCGGAAAGAGCAAAGGAGTTCATGTTCAATCAGTGATGGGAATCTTAGTAGTACTATTATTCCATGAGTGAGCAACGATGACATAGGAGATGGCACACCAGTCGACATAGTTCCACAACCTCCATGATCGCGTTACCTGATAAGTAAGCATTTCCCGGAGTAGATCTCGGGCTTGATGGGGGCGGTATTCATTCAGCAGATGGTGCATGTTGATGAAAAGCTGACCAATGTGATCGAGCTTCTCCTTGCGCCTAAGTGAACTTGGATCACGTGTAATGATATCCAGCAGATCTAGGTAGTTGGCAAGGATCGAGAAATTGAGCTTCTTAAGTTCGGCTTTACGACTGCAAGTCTACAAAAAAGGGTGAGGTGGAGACAGACATTGACAAAATTGGAGCAACGCTTCTGTTACGATTCACATAAGTAGGAATAAGTGCAACTATTGTTTTAAAATCAAGAAAAAACAAGAACGAATCGGTGACGAAAAAACGTGCACTTTTTACCTGAGGATAAATCCGACGAAAGCCAAACGACTCCAAGGGTCGCAAAATGGGATCATCCGTATTATACTGAATGCCGAAGGTTTGGTAAGAAGTAGAAGAAGGAATTTGCGGAGGTGGAGGTGCCGTACCACGAGCAACAGCACTATCAGTGTATTTGTTGATAAGTTCCCACGGCGGGATGGGAAAAAGGCTAACGTGTGATGGTCCCTCGGGCATGCGGTTCATACTTTAGTGTGCAAATCAACAGCAGCTTTCCGTAGACAGCCCAACAAAACGAGGAACTCCTTCTCGCAGACAGCGTGCTTAACTTCGACCTGACTTCTTATACACTTAGCGTACGACTTTGTCTCCTTAGCACACTTTGATAAAAGAATAGGATAAGTAATTAAGCGTTCACGTGCAGAACCAATCCTAATGGTCATGTAGAGATTGCTCAACGAGAGCAACAGACCAAAACATGCTGTACATTAAAACCTCACCTAAACAATTTAGTAAGAGGGTACTCATGTACAGACTAAGGTCAGTAAAAAGTTATTTAAGAGGCTGAAATCTGTTTTGTGTTAACTTCACTTCTGTCATTCTTTAGGCTGTCAAAAGAGGAACTGCATGTTAGAAAATGGGTGGGCAGTAGGCTAAAAATCTCTTTGCCTAAAAAGTCGCCTAACTTGTTTTGCAAAGATTTTTCTAAAATACAGTCAAAATTACCAAGAATGAGTGAATTTTAAGCGTGCTACTACCTTTTACCCGCAAAAGCAAGTTCTACAATACAGCAGCTATTATTATCAGCAAAATACAATGCAATTTCTCAGCCCACTCCTCATGATTATTTGGTTTAGTGCTTTAACTTTCTTCTTACACTCAACCGCTTATAAAGCGGTCCGTTTGGGTACCTCCTGGCTTGAGATGAACGCTCCTGCCGCGTTTGAATCGTTCCTTTTGACAGAAGGCGAGAAGAAGTAGTTCCCTATTTTTTTCTAAGAGTTGTTTAGAGTGTTTGTTGAGAAGGATACCCACGTCCCACATGCTGCCATCTTCACCCTAAACCGTGAAGACCATACGTTGGGCAACATGATCACTAGGTCAGTCAATAACTGGGTTTAAAACACATTTTGGCTGCACCGACTCCTGTTACTTGGTATTCAACACTTGCGTAGGCGATGAAATTAGCATTAGGATGCCCTCTTGACATTGTACCGGGATGGTCACCTTGATTGTGCTTACGCAGGACTTTTTTAATAAAACCTATAGACAGTTGCTGAAGGATCCTCGAGTACTTTTTGCCGGTTACAAAGTTCCTCACCCTCTGGAGCATAGAATAGTCATCCGGGTTCAAACAACCCCCACGGTTACCCCACTTGAGGTATTCTCCTCAGCCATCAAGGATCTTATCAGTGAAATCTCGAACATCGAAGAACAGTTCCGTGTAAGCTCATCACGATTTCCCTTATTCACTCAATTTAGTCCACAGTTAATTAGGTGGAATTATCTGGACTTTGTCGAATAAAATGTAAATACTCTTAGACAAATAAAGATTGCACTTTTTTGCTCCCTCATTCACTCCACTGAGAAGTAGGGGACAAAAACACGCATTTATTTGAATCCTTTTTCATACAAGGTGACAAGTTCTTTGCGCCCAGACTTCTGAAACTTCCCTAAAACAAGTAAGGTACATGATGTGACCTACGAAATACGAATTTGGATCACAACTAGCGTTTCTGCTTACTTGAAAGGAATTCTGATGGGAATGAGGCAGACGACGTCGTTTACTTTTCGTCGCTCTTCCCAACGCCCTAGACGGTGTTCCTGACCGATTCCAACAGCTAGCCATTTCCCGTTGTTGGAGAACGCCAGACTGTTTACGTAGCCAGCCTAATAGACACAAATTTATGTCGCGATAGAGGTAGAGGTAATAACCAATGCAGGAAGGGCGTACAAGACCTCACCAGATGGAATTCGCCCTCCGGAATTCGCACGATTTTCGTGTTGTCATGGTGAACTCTGAGGCGACCCCGTGACTTGACTTCCCCATTATCGTCATCACTCCCGTCTCTGCCCCCACCGAATGAGAACGCCTTTCCCTCTACGGCCAGGCGCCATAGCTGAACGTGACCGGAAGAGGAGCCAGAGGCAATCAAATCGGTGCTGAACAGGCCTGAGACTGCTGTTACCCAATTTACGGCAGGTCGTGCAGTAGCCGAATCTATGGCATTAGTGGTAGGTGGGTGTGCTGGGCATATTTTCGAGATTGGACTCCCACGACTAATGTGCCACAGGTACAGCGTACTGAAAGGAGAGTGACCCATAAGGTATTTTCATGTAGATATTATAGTTGGGTTTTGCTGACTCTGTTCCCTATCTCTAATAAAAAATGCCACCTCAAGAGAGGTAGATAAAATTATGCCCAAACTCACTTCGACGTTGATCCACCAACGAATAGGTCATCATTCACGGCATACACACATTCCACTGAGTGCCTACACAAAAAGCACGGATAATGTCGGAATCAACTAACAATGTACGAAAAATTAAAAGGTATACTCACTCAGAAGGGTCTCTAACAGCGTACTGGACACAGACCTCGTCTTCAACCTTCCACAGGCAAATGCCTGCTCCGCCAAAACCGGAGGAAGATACGCATCGCTCCGATGAAAGTCCACAGATTGAAAGCACCTCGACTTTCGTTGCAGCCCTGATATGAAAATTGAAACGACATTTGCAGGGGGTAGGGATTAAAATTATAAGCGAAAAAAATAGGTACCCTTGGTCTTGCAGAATTTCAGTTAGAGGCATATTCCACACGCAAACACGGCCGGAGCGGTCACCCGAAAACATCATGTGCGACTGACGGCGAAAACTCAAAGCCTATAAAAAAGGGGCGGAATAATAAGGTATTTTTATTGTTTGAGGGGAAAGTCAAGATGCAAGCCTACAGTAACTGGTGAATAGTGCCTCTGAAGGCGAAAAATGACTTCGAGGTTGTCGGGAGCCCATATGATTATGCTCTTGTCAGCACTTCCTGAGGCCTGATAAGAGAAAAAGAGTGATTTCAGGATTTTCCACGACTGGATTGTTAAACCTAAAACCCTTAACTCACAAGATATTTACAGTCGTCTGAAATGGCAATGGATAAAATCGGACCGGTGTGAAATGGGGAAGAAGAACCTCTTCGGCCACCCGCGACAAATTTGATTTTCTTGAAGTCCTTCAGGCCCCCTTAGAGATAAGCAAAGTAAAAGTGAATGAGACGACCCACATTTACATAGAGCTGCATCCTTTCCGCCGGAATATAGATATTCACAGTCTGAAGATATACACAGGCAATTGATAGATTTCTTGTGACCACGTAAGCAAACGGCATTATCTAGAGAAACGGGTTCGAACTAGATCAAATAGCTAGTAAAGTAAACATGAAGCAGACTTTATCAGCAACTTTAAGGAATAGTTTTCCACGGGCCTGGAGGGCTTCCTCTTGCAATCGAACTGACAATGTGGCTGTCGCATCCTCCTCATCAGAGCCAACTACGAAAATAACAGGACAAAAGAACAATGACCTGCTTTTAAAGCCTCCGCAAGGGCCTTCTTCGTGAGCCTAACGTGCCTTTCGTGCGGAGTTTCATCCTCGAATTCATCGTCGGATACCTGCACTGGGTGTTCACTGAAAAATCAGTGTTATTAAATTGTACACCATTACCTTATATCACTATGTTCGGAATCAGAAGAAATCTCTTCATCACTACCAATAGCCTTTTTACTCTAATACAGTAGGTGGGTTTTTTACGTCCTTACCTTCAATTTTTGGCTTTTCAAGGGCGCATGATTTCTCCCACGTTTTAAAACCATTTTAAATATGCCAACACTTTTGAAGGACATAAAAACATACCTACATTCTAGTGGAGGTATGCCATTTTCTATTGCCTAATGTACATTTGAAAAATTATGGGTTATTAAAAAAATCAGAAATAAAGCTGACAAATTATTCCACATTATCAAGTTCCATGATGCAAGTATAAAAGGCAAGAATACTTTGTATTTTATGACATTAAATGCGGAACCAGATATTAAGTCAGTGCAAAACACACAGCACTGCTGTGAACTAGAGCTGTTAACTTCTGTATTATCATTTAAACCACACTGTGGAAAACATGAACTGGTTTCGGACTATGACAGCAGCAAATTGTGGCAATTGAGCGACATAATTCTGCGCACATAATGTTAATAGATTGCTTTAATTTTAGACGTAAGTGTACTAAGGCAGTTTAACACTGGCTGCACACGGTCATTGTAAAGTGGAGGCAGTTCACATCGTGCAATTCAATCGGATTTGTTGAAGCACGTCATTTATCATTATGCGCCCAAGAATCAGATTAAAAAAAACCGCCTCAAGCACTAGTTTTAATAACTCATATGCATTAATTCCTTACTGTAGGGCCTAAAAAACTTGATGGGAAAAATAAGTTGGTAAATTTCGATGCACTTTGTTCGCATTATCAAACGGATGGATCCCTCTTAGCTCAGTACCCATGAATTGGTAAAAACTAAAGTTAAAACATGCTTACGAGGTTAGCGCACAAGTGGAATACTTCTGACGTCATTGGATTGATAAATATTTATTGCAGAATTTGTTTGACTTTAGCAATAAATACTGCGTATTTCAAAATGCATGTGCTAACCAGTTTTTGGTTGGTTCGAGAATTTTTTTTCTGATTTTGGATCTAGGGTACTTTGTCTTCGTTCATTACATACGTACTTCTGCAATAGGTTGTAGCTGAAGCATTTACAGTGCTCCAAGTACTTATTGAAGTTATAGTAAGACAGCACCTTTTGGAAGATGTATTAACAAAATACTTGCCCACTAGAACACTGCAAGCATGGCCAAAAGGCAGGTTGTTTTATCATGGCCAAGAACTATGGACAAAGCTGGCACGTTAAATTATGCGAACAGAGAATTGCCAGTAGACATCTGCGAAAACTCCTACCTTTCCAGAGGGAAGGTAGAAAACTAGCTGGTAGGATGTTCACCAACGTCGACGTCTAACTCCATTAAAGCAGCCGAACGCGACTTCGTGTCGTCTGTACCGAGCAGCATCACTAATTTGCTCATCCCATCTGATAGATCATGTCAATCCAGAATGGCAAAACAACATACATACGTTTCAAGATGGGCGAAAACATCAAGTTGCTCCAGGATTACTCATTCGAAGTATCCTATTCTAAAGTATGTGTAGCGTCCTGAGACTTCCCTGAATACTCGGGCAAAATATGTATATTCAACACAGAAATGGTCTCAGGCCAGCCCACCCAGCGAGGTACAAGAGGGCTGATTCAAAGTTCAAAAGTCGCGCCTCACCAATACCGAGGGATAAACCACTGTCGTATTACACTGGGGCTTTGGCAGAGGCCCCTTGGACTCCTGAAGCTGCTGGCTTGTTGCTAATCACTTCCGGCAATGTTTTACCAAATCCATTGGTTAAAAGTAATTTACGATTTTTCTTAAGCGAACAATCAATTGAGATTCGCAAACGCAGGAGAGGTGAATGTAGAAATGAGAATGCTGTCCGTTTAGCACTCAGAAATTACAATATCTTCTGTGTGTAACAGCAAAATTTCTCGTATTACTGCTTTGCTGAGGGCCAATGTTTTAGATTCTAAAATCTATTAAAATGTTTTTAGGCAAGTTTATTCCTAATTTCATCCCAACTCTGCGGTGAAAGAGATGTTGGAGAGACAAAAAATTTGGATGTACTCCTGTGTATCGTCCTTGTTCTTGTCTTGACGTCATCCTTGACTTTTGTTTATACTCATCCTATTCGCATAAAATGCATTTGCTAACGGTATAAAGTGAAATACCCTAGAATAGAAAAATGTGAGCTATTTTTTAGGATAACGAATAAGCATAGCAAGCTCTAGAAGTTGAGTGTAAAAGCTTGAAAACAGCATTTCTCTTTGTTGTACTCGGACGAACATGACGTAAAACCAATTCTTTAAATTATATTTTGAGTCAGAATCTGGAAGGTAATTTGCTTTTGTAGTGAATTCCAGATTACAAGCTTGATTCTGATCCAATAAAACTTGTGGACTTCAGCGTTCTAGTAAGGATGCTTAATGAAAGTGATACGATGGTAAAAAAGCTAGTGTTGCAAGTTTTGGAGGAATTTGCAACCTTTCTAAGAGTTGAGACTAGTTTTGAAGATACCAAGCGTATTGTTATACTGTGCTTGAATTGTCTTAAGTCGAACGGTAAAGTAATCTGCCCATTAATTTCCAAATATAGAGTTAAAGAACTCCTGTTGTATCTGCTTGAAAATTTTACTTAAAATGCTCAAATATCCCCTACTGACCAATAAATTTCATCAGAACAAAGGCGTTAACTCTCTTTTGCTGATAACTTAAGACTGCGATGGTGACCTAAAAACATTAATTTTTAAAATCCTGACAGTTATCTCACGGGTGTTCTCAAGTTGAACTGTTAACGGGTGCTGATGAAACTGATATACAAACCCTTTTTTAACGCTTTGATGGAGAACATTTGCGGTGGTAATGCTGAACTTCAAGTGGGAGCAATTGCATGTCTAACCAATTCGATGTCGTGCGGTAGGTTTCGAGTGCCTTATTAACCAGCATTTCCCTTTGCAACTTATCCTAAAGCAGGATTTGTTCCATGCTAATTGCATTCAATCCAATAGTTCAGTGCCCCAGCTTGTGGAATTTCCTTGTAATAATGATAATTTATTATGCTTTTCATTGTCGTAAACTCATAACAATTACCGTTTTTCCGCACCTGACCCTAATCTTGTTAACCACCGTTCTTTTTAATTTTGGCTTCATGAATTCGATCTAGAATCCAATTGACGGCATCTGATTCAGTCAAAACTGCTGTCGAGACTGGTTTCATTTTTTGAGAAACCCTTATCATTGGGGGTACTTGAGCCACTACTGAAACTACTTGCTTGCGTATTTGTCAGTCTGTCGGCTTTAAACGTGAGCCCGATTTGACGAATGGCAGATCTGAATCTTAAATCTAAATTAAACTACCACCTATTTCTATTTAGGTATCAAATGTGCCCACAATTGTTTTGTGGATCGCGCGTTTCGTTTTTGTGCACCATGAAAGCGGGGATGTGGATGCGAGCTCATTGAGCAAAACCCCACGAAAACGCGGTGTTAAGGGAGTGCCAAGAGCTAAGCACCGAGAAAATTCTGCTCTCGGTAACTCAGTAGTCTATTTGCATTCTAGCCTTTTTCAATCCTACGTTGTCCTAGTCTTGTACATACTTGTGAGGGATAGGGCTCTTCGTTTCCACTGGGAGATCCTTTTCTTACGTTGACCTGGGATTTAAAATTACACCCTCCAGGAACACACCACTTACAACTGAGTGCATCCTCGACAAAGCAGCACAACTTTCACAGACACAAAATGAAAAGCTCTATTTTGACTTAGAGTCGTCCAAATAGGGAGTTCCCTCCGACACTTTAACTTTCAGTGCGGCGTGAAGAAGTGGGCTGGCCAAGCATTCAAATATCCTCCTGTCGTATCCTACAGAAAATAGCCAAATCTGGTGAGTGCCTAACACTTCAGTTGCAAAGGCAGCAACCTCGTCCCTCATTTCCTCCTTCTTCTTAAAGATAAGTATCTCGCACTCCTGTTGGCGAACGGAGTGGACCAAAAGTTGATGGATTTGATTATTACCAAGTCGACGAACATAGACGTGCATGGAGCCGCTGCAAAAGCCCTATCGTACCTACTTCGGGATGAGGTGGTTCGAATGGTTGTGACCTTGTCAGGTATGGCTGAGCCAATTTGATGTTTGTGCTCGTCTACATGTTGACGGATGTTCCTTTGTTATGTCAACTTGACACAAGCTGATAGGTGGGGTAAGTGAATTCATTAGGCTACTCGGAACAGGCAACACGGAGTCACGCTCGGCCGCTCTGGCGGCGCTAGGCTTCCTGATTGTGGACAACCAACTCGCTTGCAAGTAAGTTCTTTCTTGAAAGGTGGACGCGATTTTAGGAACGTTGCACAGGTGCCTCAACTTCTGGACTTCTGGACCGTTTGAGTGCATACATCTGCTTCCGCAGTAGCTTTCAGTGGAACTCCATCCACCCTTGTTTTGGCTTAGGACTTCCACATAATTAGCATATTGCGAAGGTTAACATTACCACCCAAACCCCATTTAAACCAGACTAACTTGTCCTCATTGGCCAAGACTATGTCAGTCAGACATTGTTCTTGAGGCTAAGGATAGGGATGAATGGATACGACAAGAATGGAATGTCAGGATGGAAAGATGGTTGGATGGATAGATGAACACAAATCTGATTGGTAGATGGGAGCAGGATGGGTAGAGAGATTCGTGATGGACAGATTAATGCACAAATAAATGGGTGGACCCAAGATGGATGGAGGATGGGTGGATGGATGTGGGATGGATGGATGGATGTGGGATGGATGAATCCAGTGTGGATCTGGAATGAATGGGTTGATGGTTCGGGATGGAAGGGTACCTTTATAAAACCCATTCAGATACACTTTGTCTGCTAATTAGAAGTTGAGTGCAGTCAGGATGACCAGCCAATCCTATTCACACCAAGTCCCTGGCGTCCCCTTCGTTTGACTGACTGTTTACAGTGAAGATTTCGGCTGTAGTAACAATCTCTCCTTCAGCTCCAGTCCAATTCAAGCCAAATCGTTGGCAATTCTACCACCACTACTCTCATCAGACGATGGAATCGCCTTCTTTTAACAAGCTGGTGGGATAGAAAAGTTGGTGGAGTGCTTAAAATCCACCTACCTGGCAGTTCGAAAATGTGCGGCAACCAAAATCGGTCTTCTGGCTCAGGGTAAATTGGCGGCAGGAATTCTCTACGAGGCAGGATAAGTTACCTCCACTCATAGAGCTCTTAAAAAAACAAATGACCGATGACCGCAATGAAAGGGAAATGGTACATTGGTAGTCACGTGCTCCTACTCCTCCAAGGTCAGAGAAATCACCTTTGGGTTGTTCGGCAAATGAGAAGTCTCAAATGCTTTCTGATGTCTACAATCCCTGGCACAAATCCCATTTCTATCTGTTAGAGTTTTAGGGCATGGATGATCCCCAAATCTTCAAGAGAGTCGTGGTCCCACTCCCTCCCTCTTGATGACCGTTTGAAGGCCAAGGTCAATCAGTTGTCATGGCTGTGGGTGACTGAAACCATTAACTTGGACTGAGATTTGGACCACCTCTGACCTCTAACCACTAGGCTCGTACACATCCGCCATGCTTGCGTTGTTTATTCACTACACTGTGACGCTCCTCCATTGCCCTCGTCTGGCTGGTGGCCTCGATGGGAACCAGGTGACTAAGGCACACAATCCCTAGGTGTAACTAGTGGCAACTCAGTTTGCAAGAAAAATCATGGGATTTTTTCGTCAGACAATGCTCCCTCTTGACATGACATAAACCTCGGTATCTCTGAGCCCCCGGACCGCGATGGTGTGGAGCCTATCAGCCAATTTCTGCTACTCTTAGTATTCAAATTCACACAATCACGCGGTTATTGCTTCCACCATTCTATTCTTCCTTTCATTCTAGCTATATTTGTTTGCCTATTTACCCACCCATCCTTCCATCTATCTATCCATCCATCCATCCACCTCTCTTTCTCGGAGTTTGAGGAACTATCATCAGGGAAATGTGGGTATTGCAATAACTTTCTATTCTCTTATTCTAAAGCATAAATATTTCCTCGAGCAAGATCTACGGTAAAATGAGGTCTTTTGATGTGCTACCTTGCTAGAATATTGCTTTTATCCCAGAAGTTTCTTAAAACTTAATTGTTCCTTGAAAATTTTAATGCTTACCTTTAAATTGTATCGATACTCCCATTTGCTTGTCTCACAAACAAGTTGTTCTATCAATCAGGATGTTGGCTGCTCCGAAAAGAGCCTTTTTCTGAAGGTATTGCAGCGTCTTCCAGAATCAGGTTCCTTCTAAAGTGCACATTGTTCTTCCCTCACAGGAAGAAGCCTTTGTGATCATTGAGCAAACTAAATTTGACCATCAGGGCACGTGTACCCCGCCCCACAGTACAGCGTGGCGCATCGACGTAATGCCACATATAATGGCTTTGCGTTGCCCCAAAGACCAAACCAATGGTCTCTACCACCTTATAAAATGCGGATTTCGCATATTCTCCGACAACCGAGACACCCAATACTTTTGCACTCTTTTTAAGGGTCTTGGAAGAGTTATGTATGGTGCAGTCTTTGCAAGACCAGTCCTCTCCCCTAGCCGGCATCGCGATCAAAAACATCCTCGGCGCAAATCCCATCCTGAAATTCGCAATGACTGGGTTCTTAGGCAAGTTCCACTCCCAAGTCTTCTTTGTTTTCCCCCTAAAGGTAAATATTGGTATCCGTACGTGTAAAAGTTCGTCAGACACATTCCTGATGATACTTTATTTCATCAATCAAATCATCAGAGGTGAAAAGCACTTTTTGACTGTCATCTGCTTAGTAGATTTCTCGGATATCACCGGAAATATATTCTATGATGTGGGTCCGCTGAAGGCGTCAGATCGATTGAAAAGCCTCCAGTTTTATGCAAAGGACCCAGTGAATGACGCTAGACCAGTTTGGATTCTTAATATAACCGAGATGTAAGTCTCGCATGGAAATGCAGCAAGTTGCAATTGTCCTGTCTTATCTTCTACTTATCTGACTGACACGCGTCATCCAAGGGAATTTGCAATTACTTTTAGTGGGACGGAAGAGGCAACTGGTTTTTCTTTGCCATACGATCCAGAGCTGAGGAAAGCCGTCCAAATATGTGTTGCCAAGATTGGGGCAAGCACAGATGCGAACGAGAAGGCCGAGACTCTAGCCATGTAAGCATAGTATCAAACACGCAATCCTTATTCAAACGAAAGAATTGGACAGTATGGCAAGGGCAAAAGTTCATACAAATGGGAATACGCCGGTTTACTGATCTAATCTGGCTTGCCTACATAGTGATTTTCCATAGTATTTGTATGAAAGGCATTCATCCTTAGCATATTCGACTGGTTCGACTATCTTAACGGATTTTTGTGAGGTATATAAATCAGGTTAAAGGGTGTTTGCTTCCGCAACCTGCCTAAATAGGTGATTGTTCAATTTGTCACGTCTACGTTCGGTTACCGCCCTCCACTCAATTTGGGTATCAGCGTAGTTATTAGTCTGAATAATTAAAACATCATTTGGATTGGGGAACATGAAACATTCTGAAGCACGCATAATATAAAACAGTCCTTCATATAACATTAAAAAAATGGTTCCTTCAAAAGGAGCCTTGAATAAGATTTTATTAAAGGCACTACCTTGAACGAATTTGTAGGAAAGAAAAGTTGGTCGCATATTTGATCACATTTATATGGATCTCAAAAGTTTGCCGGAAAGGTGAACATGTAGGCTGTACAACTTAACTTATTGGGGGCTTTTTAACCATATATTGATAACGAATAAATATATAACATCATTTTCAAGAGAGTCAGCAAATTTCTGTGGAGATCCGATGACTAGGGAAGATGCCTACAGTTCTGTTGACTGGCAAGAAGTTTCCCAATATCGCTGTCATTACAATACGAATACTGTACGCATCAGTCTTCCAGCCCAGACTGGATACCGCCACAGAGCTTTGCTTTTCAAGGTAAACAATGTATTTACTCTGGACCTGATTCTGACGCACCTTTCTGTGTTGTAGATTATCGCAGACAAAGTAGGAATACCGTGTAGGTGTGTTTGTGGAGAATATCAAATCGAGTACAATATCATTTGCATTCAGGTGAGCAAGAATTTTCCCCACTGTCTTCGCCTTTGGGGCTCCAGAGGCTAATCCAAACTTTGTTGTTTGATATGAGAGTTAGCCTTCATTTAATGGGGTTTTGTTTTATAGGCGAGCAAGAGGAGCATAGAAGCAGTTCATAACGGTTACAGTGACTCTGAGAGAAAAACTTAGCTAATAATGGCATCTAGTTCCAATTTCTAGAGTTGTACAACAGACTAATCCATTAAGTAAAATTAAGTAAAACTGGACAATTTCCACTGCATACATGGATATTGAGACGATGTAATTCATTTGATATTACGATGTTCGTCTTTTTCACTTCGAATTTTACACGATTTTGTAAGCCTAATTCAAATATTTGCACTCAAAATTAAGTCCCGGCTAAATAAACATTCTTCGTAAAATGAATTCCAGTCCTGAATACAGCTAAAACTCAAGTAGTTTATTTTCTGTCGCAGAGTGAGACAAGTAAACAAAAAAGTTCGTCGTGGATCTGATGGGACATCCCGGTGCACTGTATCCAACAGACTCCAAGGAGGCTTTTAAGTACTGCAGCATTTGACCTCGAGTACTCGCTACGCATTGCTGTCCCACCCAATCGCGTTTGTCATTTCTTTTTAATAAAGACTCAGTAACAAATAATTCTCAGTTGAACTGCGTGGCTAGGTAAATGATCGAAGTTCGTTAGTAATTGGGATTAATCGTGTTTATTCTTCAACGGCAGTCGTTAAATTGGATGCTAGAGGAGGAGGATTTTTAGCAGCATAAGTCCACATTAGAAATTCTGCGCAGAACTAAGTTCCAAGTCAGGTCTAAAGCATAATTACCTAACAACCACTTCCACAAGTAATCTGGGTTATTCCCACAACCCCGAATTCCTTTTCCTAAGTATTAGGAGCTGACCACTTTACCGCAAAAAATTGCGCTTTTAAAAACAAAATTTATGCAATGCAAGACCTAATGTTTAAACTCCACAATATCGCCTATAAGAAAACTTGGTGCCATTTGCTCTTTAATGGTGTGCTTAAATTTGCTACCCCAGGTGGTGCATATTATGAATGGGTATCCTAGACGGATTGTTTTCCATGTTTGACAAAAACGTATTTTCTTCCGAAAAGATTTTGCTCCAATAGTCCATCCTTTTTTGTGAAACAATTATAGAGTCACCAAAGACGCGTGCATTTTTGCAGAGTTCTGTTGAATTGCCTCAGAAACGAGTGTTCACAAGCTCCTCTCATTCAGCTTCGAAGAAACCCGTATTTCACGTGATAAAATTAATTCTCTCGTTTTAAGTTGTTTGTTTTGAACAAAATGGAATTATTCGAAATAGGGATGCCTTCTGTCAAAGATGAGACAGATTTCATTAAGAACGTGTGCCAACGGTTTAGCACAACGCCGGCCGATATTCATGACAAGTTAACTGCTGACTGCACCGCCGGGAAGTTTGATTCTCCTCTTTGTCGAGGAATTAAGTCTTTGTTCCGTTATGATTGTCTCTGTGGGCCTCTCATACCCTCATCTCAACACTCTAATCACTATTTGTTCACAAAGCTGTTTGCCCATCTCATTGCTGGACCGAAAGGGATCGAGGATTTGACGTGTGCACGTACGTTAATTACTTTTTAGTTTTACCGGGTTTTAGTGAAGAACTATGATTACTCGGATCGTTGCAGTTTGGTGTGGATTGGAGACTACTTCGCCTACCGCTGCCGGACCTGTGGACTTACACCAAGCATGTCCCTCTGTGGGGCTTGTTTTACTGCCGGCAATCATGAAAATCACGATTTTAACAAGTTTAAAAGCATGTGCGGAGGCGCCTGTGATTGCGGCGACCCATCTGTAATCCGGCCTTCTGGGTAGGTGCAAGCTAAACAACTAGTTTTCTAGTGCATGTGCCCAAATTTGATCGTTTTATTTTCGCCAATAGAAACTGCCGTTTCCACGGTCCTGACAAAGTTGCAAATCGACCCTGCCCACCAAAAGAATTGATTGCTGTGCTGGAATTTCTCCTTCCCAATGTCATGAAAGCCCTCATGTTTTGGTTCTGGGATCACTGCAAAGTGGAGGAGCCGGCCCTCAACGAATTAGAAGCGCCGATGCTCTACTTCCTTCATCGTCTTCATGCCTGTGGCTGGGTCACACAACAGCTGATGGTCGATGTAATGATTGACCCCCAAGTGTACCAAGAATTGATGAGAGGTAGACCGCCTTCCTAAGTAACCTCTGTTGTATTTTTCGTCCTGCTTTTCCTACTCCAATTTGCGTGAATTGGTCAATAGTGTACGGTGGGCATCCAAGGTGTTGGCCTGGATGCATAATGGTACTCTTCAGCTCTATTCCACCCTTTTAGACAAGAGATTTAATTGCTCCTGTTCTTCCTAAAATTTTCCTTTTGTCCATAAGAATGTGCTTGCACACCGGCCTGCCGGTCCTATAAGGCGAGTGTGGCATCCAAACCTCGGTTTTCAATGAGGGGTACGTCCGCATTTTATACCATCGCCTTTTGAAAATGCAAAAGAACGAGGTGAAATACCATCATATGTTCTACACTCTAGATGATGTAGACGATGACGCCTCCCAGGACCTGGAGCACACGACCCTACTCGAGGCTTTCCTGTTCATGATTGTAAAACTTCGCTTTCCCGAGAGCTTGAGCACTTTGCTCATTGGTCTACTACCCATAAGCGACTTCAAGGTAAGCTGGAATTTGTCAATTTTATTAGCTTCCAACACATTATTTGTCACTCAACATTTGCATATTCTAGAGGCGGTTTATTGATGCCTATGTTGACCACTACTCAAGGATATCTTCCACTCTAATGGTAACATCGCGTGTTAGAAACATCTCTCCTGAGGCCGCAATGCAACTGAACAACCGAATTGTACACATCTCGGTCCAGCTGTTCAGTGGTGTTGATCATGCCTACCGAATGGTGAAGGAAAAGTCCCTTCACTACCTCATCGTCAAATGGATGCGGAATATGTTCGCGTTGAGTCGCACAGTAAGCTGGTTTGCTACCGTATCTGATGTACTGATAGTTTCGCATAGCTGTTCACAGTATTTAAGGTCAGGCTGAAATTCAATTTCTGAGGTAAACATTTTTATCATGGCAGATGATTTGTGCTGGGTAAACACCGCTTTTATCAGTATAAATCTGACCTTTTAATTGGAGAAAGTTACAAACATTTTATCAGTCATATCTTATTTCGATCACGTGTGTTTGCAGCGTCTAGATGATCGTGGAAACATGGTGGTCAACTGTGACGGTGTGCTTATTCAAAATAACGCCTTTTGGCCTCTCACCTCAGATCTTAGCAACATCCTCTCCCACAAGGTGGTCGCTGATGTTCTGGTTGAGGATAGAAAGTTTTTGTCTCTCTGGACTGATATTCTCAAATTCATGCAGGTTGGTTTCAAGATCAATCCGACGTATTCATTCTTCCCTTGTTACAATGAGTGTGCTCATTAACGGTCTTTTTAATTTACATTTAGTTCATGAACTGCTTTTCCATGAAGGAAGGTAGTCACATTGAATATGAGACTATGGCCTGTTATCACGGTTTAACTATGGAGATCGAAGTCAGCATCAGCATTATGTGGTACATATGGGATCATTATCGAACATCTGTAAGTTTACTTCTGCTTTTTCCATTTAAATGCGTGAGGACCTTGACTCCAAATCCTACATTGCGTTTAAAGATGTGCCTTTGTGTCCCTGTGAGCTTTGAAATATTGTAACTACGTCTTCAAGTGGCCACTTTCATGCAGTCGTTGTCGTCACATGTGATGTGTGATTTGTGTCTGATCAGTCGTTTCCCATGGACACTGCCATGACTTGATGTTAAGAACACAGTTTTTTGAACTTGTGGGTATGTTGGCAGTTTCTTCCAAAAGGGCGCAGGTGTTCTCAACTCTAAGGCTTGTGAATGAGAGGAACACTATCTCTTAATTTGTTCGGCTCATGCATCCAATACTACGAAAGTACAGTCTCTGTTTCGGCTTAGGTCTACCTACTTGCTAGTTTCAGATTTCCTTGGCAAAAGTACTTTTTTAGAATGCATTCACTAACATTCACGTTAGTAAACGTTCAAGACTTAGGGCAATTCATTTGAAGGCATTAGTCATTATTCATGTAAATGTTAGTACTAATTTTTAGTTACAGGGCATCAAAATATCGTTTTAATTACCGCTATGAGGCTATTGCGGAGGCATATGCTTTCTCGAATTCGTAAACTCTGCACCGCCTCGACTGAAAGTGAAAAACCATGGGAACGCACTTGTCCCTTTGATTAAAAGAAATGGACATTAACGTGCCAAGAATAACTTGGTACTTTCTAACACCCTGTTTGATGGAACAATGCGTCTACGCCTGCACAAACTGAAAGAAGCCGTAGAAGTTAAGGAAACAGATGGTACCCGCATTAACAGATACCAATTAGCTGCAAAGGCCTTGCAAAATGCGCTGTTATCAAATTATTTCATTGATAGATCGGTAATGAGAAGTGACTTTTGTATTTCAACGTTCGTTTATCCTAAACGATCCCCATTCCGTCGTGCACCTCTAAGATGGCTACCACTTCATGCTCGCAAGACTGTGTTGAACTGCAGTCGGAATCGTCCATTTTGAATTTTTTCTGGAGGGTTAAAAATTTAGGGCTATCTATCTACTACCTGTGTGAGAAAACTTCGTTTTCAAGAAAAGATAGGACCATTGAATCAGGGTCAATAATGTGGCATTCTTACCACTGTGTGTGGAATATATCTCATTCCGCATTATGCGTAACAACCGTGGGATGATTTACACCCGGTGCAGAATGGGATACGGGGGATTGATTATCATCATCGTTTCTTAACATCAGAATTAGGCAATCACGTGATCACATGCGAAGTAGACAGTGAACAGTTTGGAAATAGGTGTAAGGTAGAAACGAAGGCGGTTCGAGCAAATTTTTCTTACTGACATTTGGAAACAAACTATTTTTAAAAATGCAATTTTCATCAAGCTTGCATCTGATTGGGAGAGAATGACAGTGACTGTGATTACTCGACTGAACAACATAACAGGGGATGCTCCCTTCACTTATGCAATTCCCATGAAAAATCATGCGAGCTTATTTGGCTACCTTATGTGCGTAATAACTGACTCCTGGCAGCCTAGCTGTCAACTCCGTTTTAAGCCTGTTTTACATATTGTCATGCATTTAATTAACAGCTGGTCATACTTAAGATAGCTTGAAAGAGCACCCCTCGTATTTGCTTTCGCCTTGCATACTTCTGAGTCGGTTGAACCGGATCCTTTTTCTCCCCATTTCAGCCCGAGAAGGAGCACTGTTTGATGTACACCCGGGCTTGCATCAAAGCCCTGGCCCATCAACTGACCTACCTCGGCCGATTGGTTGCCAGTTCGACCCAATGGGCTCACCCTATTCGGGGGCCGCTAAGTCTCCACCTACCTCTCAGCCGACATGCTGCCTGTTTTCTCTGTCTTGCCGTGTTCACACATCGTGCGGATGTGAGGAAACTAATGACACCCCTCTTGGCGCCCAATCCAAATGTTCTCCGTCGCCTTATGGAGGAATTGGCCAATGTGCTGGTGGGTCAGCTTTACCATCATGTCCTTTCTATTGCCCCCCCTCACACGAGGTGCTGCTTTGTCTCGCATTGGTTCTGGCTTTCCAGCTCGGCTGTCACGAGGTTCTCATAGGGTACTGGGTTCGAAACGGCCAACCCATTCGCCAATCCGTTATGCACTACATGCAGAGCCAAATGTGCTACTCAATGGTTGATTTGGACATCTTCCTCTTCCAAGTAAGCAATCCATTTTCTATCACAACCTTGTGAAGCTTCATTACTTGGTTAATAAGTTGGTTGCCGATCTCATATTCCAAGTTTTTTTTTAAAAAAAGGTCTGCGCAACACTGATGCACCCCGTCTACATACTCAATACCCTGGTCGATCAGTCTCGCCTATTGCAGAACTTCTGCTTCCATCGGGAGTTGATGGCACTCACGAGACCCTCCCTCATGAGCATCACTGTGGATCGTCAGCCAATGGCCATTGAGGCCTGGCTTACCAATCTCTGCTGGATTTTGGATCTTCGTAATAACCTCGGTGAGCAAACGCAACCAATAAGTTGCACCTGACAGTGCTGCAATTAGACTGCTTTTTGTGATGCTTGATTCTTCCAACGCAATAGCTGTTGCTGTTTTGGCGTTGCAGGTCTTTCAGAAACAGGCCTCATCGAAAAGGAATTAGTCTGCTTCCTCGCGCCTGAATCACGAAAACGCAGTGATCTCTCCTATCTCCTGCCTGATCGCTGTCTTCCGCAAAATACGGATGTTATTGATGAGTGCCTTCAAAAGGTAGCGTCTCCTTTTTCTTTGCAACTTCCAACTGCATTGAAAACCTTTTTGAAATTGGGTTTTTGGAGTGGCGTTTCTTCCTCCTACTTGATCAGGTTGCAACGTATGTGGCACCCTCCTGTGATAACATGTCAGGCTCACTGCTTAGTGGGCATTATTCCCTGAAACCGGAGTTATGGCACGAGAAGTTTGATCCCGTCTTCTACACCCTTCGCATGACAAGCAAGCGGGAGCAGGCTTCTGCCTTGGAGAAGTATCGGCTACAGTAAGTTGGTCGGTGCATTCTGCATTCTGAAATTGCGTCTTCTTGTTACTTTATGATCATCTTGGCCGCGCGAAGAAGGCCTTTCAGCTGGTGCCATGATGATTGATATTCCTATTTCGATTGCCTTCTAGCTGCCGCCAGACAGGGGGTACGCAAAACACCTTGGCGTTTTGGCCCCCCCACCGCCTGCCCTTGGATTTGGCGCCGGATTTTGCCGATCTGGAAAACGCTCTGCATAGTCGGCATTTGCATTACCTCCTCTTCTCTCTCCTCAGTTTGGTATGTACCTTCTTTTCTATTGCACAAGCAGTTACACTTAATTCTCTCAGCACTGATTCTCAGCATTGCTGAGAGGGTCCTCAACTGGTCAGAGGGTTAAGTAGTCAATTTATCAGGAATAAGATAGCCTTCTGAGTTGAGTAAAGCCTTTATAAGCATATTTAGTACATCTCATTTCTGTTATTGTGCGCAATTCTGATCCAGTCTCAAGCAGATGATAATATTACTTTATCTGGATTTCTAATTCGGTTTATCACCGAAGTGGTAAGGAATTTTATTCTCGCTTTTTTCCTTCACACGTGAAACACCGAGGCCTTTTCTAATCCAAATTTTATCGTGGCCTTGCTTTTTTCGCTCGTCTTGACGCAGGGTACAAAGACCCTTTTTTCGCCCCTAGCATAGTAAAGTCGGCAATGGGTATTTTCCACCATGAGACCCTGCAGTATCCCTAGTCGACAAGTCGACAACTAGGATTGTGGTCAGCAGATAGTTGTGGGCACAATTCGAATGGCTAATTTTCACTACCATCCGAAGTTTTTAATGAAATGGATTAACCAAATGTCCCAAAACGCCGAGAGGGCGTAGATTTTGCCAGTCCAAACACAAATATGCATTTGTGGTCAGAAAATGGGAGTGAGTAAAGTCACTCCTGGGGTTCACCAATTTGTTATAACTTGGCTGACTGCAATTGCTTTGCCATGAGGTATCCTTTTTTTCTCTGTTTTTTTCCAGGCATCAGGTTAATACTCTCCTCATGTGCTTATTTTTTATGATGTTCGACCGTGAAGGATTTGTGTACACCAGTGCGCTCGGTACTGCGTTGTACAGTGCCTTGCACAACAAAATCTGACATCTATAAGGCCTTTTTCTTATCCAATTCCGGCAATCACGTTCGATCACGTGAAGCCCGTATTAAACAATGCTTTAGCAGACGTTGATATCGACGACCGATTAGGAACTCGCGTGTGACTGCTTTCCCGTAGTTCATTCGTCTCTTTTTAGTAGAGGATGGTGACTGGATGCAGAATTGTGGGAAAGGCTTTAAGTCATTAGAGATTCATGATCTGGGTACAGTCTTTGTGCCGTTTGGATATTGCTTCCATGCCTCTCTCATCAAGTAACTGGAAGCTGAGGAAAATAAATTTTAGGCTACACTACTTATTTCCGGTTTGACTGGCACTTCTTTGCTACATTTTTTTTTAGTACGTGTACGGAGATCCGTTAATGACCGAGGAGAGCCTTGTTCTGGTAATCCATCTCCTCTACCGAGCCGTGGTAGCTGGTGGCGTAATTCTCAAAAAAGGCTTGGTAAGACTCCTTTTGAGCTGATCAGTAAAGAATGATCATTTCGCACTCTTTAATGCATTTTGACTCAGTCATTAAATTGTAGCTTTTGAATTACCCTTAACGATGACGAAAAGCATCTGAACTTAGGATCAGCTAGCAGCTTGAGCAGGGCTCCGCGTCACCCTTGTAGAGGCCGAATGTCAGAATATGGGGTGATATTAATTGCTAAAAGTGTGGCCTATTTTAGTAACTCCTCATCGTTCTCTTCTGTTCTACTCCATCGTCTCAGATGTTCTTTGCCCCTCCATTTGTATACAATCGGCCTTGTTATGAGTGTGCGGACGGTTCGGAAAACAAGTAGCACGAACCGAGTTTCGCACTCAAATTGCAGAAGACGGCAAGCCTCCTGCACTAGAATATACCATTTTTCCGCAGAACTACTGGATTACCATATCAGGCTCTCACTTATGTCGTTGCCATTTAGGGACCGAATCGCCTCAGCATTGAAGCGGAACCCACAATGCCTCACTTTGATCCAATCCAATGTACCGAGGCCGTTATGGCGGCTACCAATCGTGAAGCAGAGCTAGAAGCGATGCAGTTTGTTGATGCCGACTCCGAAGTTGACGATGAGGAGGAAGATGATGACGATGAATTGCAGTTAGCTGACGAGGAGGTGGGGAGGACAAATAACGCTGAAGTAGACGAACCAATGGAAGTGAAGGAGCCTCTGGTGGTCCCAAGTAGCGCGTCCACTTCCCACGACTCTACCACTGCTATTCGCGGGTCCACCGTGCGACGCTCCAACGCCTTCAGGGTGCGCAGGCCGCCGACTATTCCACTCAAATGGGATCTAAGCATCGTTGCTTGCCCTTACCCTGTGCCCCAGTCCACACCCACTATTTTCCAGCACCTATCTACCTGGCTGGCTACCTCCCAGCAGACCGTGTCCATGGCTGCATTGGAATCAAAATCCCTGCACGATGGCACCGAGTACTCGTCACCTGTGCGAGATGAATCGTGGTGAGTGGGGTCACTTGTTCACTCCCACGAACTGCATGCGGAAAGCGCGCTTCATTTTATGTCTTCATATTTAGTCCCATGGTGGATAGCCTGCTCTCCTTGCTGGTCAAAGCTCACGCGCGTCTACAGTGGAGTCGCATGGCAACCGCGACGAATCTACCAGCCCAACAGGCGGTCGCTCCCTCGTGTACGAGTGTGGCGGCAGTGGCGCAGGACTGTGCCTTCTTAACTTTTCCCGCCTCATCTCCCTCTCAGGCTGACACCGCGTCCGCCACCCCTACTCCTGTTGCTGACCTCACTGCCCGCTGCATGGCTGTGCTTAATGCTACGAACACGGAGGAATCGACCGAAGGCGGACCAGTTGCATCGCCCTTGGCCCGGGCCCTTCAAGCCAACACTTCGAGTGCCACACCCGAGGCGAAGATGGTAAAAGTGCTCACCGAAATGCCGCCGGAGTTGCGCTACTTTGCTGTTGCTCCTCCCACTTATAAAATGCCCGAAGAAAAGGAGGAAGAAGGGGCGAACGACACGAAGTCAGAAACGCAGTCAGAGGCAAGGGGAACATCTGGAGTGACTCAAACCGAGAAGCCGGTTGAGTGTGGAGACGGCGTTTTCTGGGTTGGTAGACTGTTGGATAAGATTGTGGAACTCTCACCAGACTGTAAATCTCAGTTGAAGGCTTTCCTTGATCGTGCAAACGATCCCTTCGGTGTGCGTCAGGAGGCTGAAACAGCGGGTGAGGAGGCGGAAAGGTAGGTTGTGGTTTTATAGGGTCATCCACGCTTTAGTGCCCTTTTGCCGTCGGGCCTGCAAAGTAATACCAAGACACGAGCTCAACGCAAGAGGGCTGCCTCAGAGAGGCGGAAGCGTCTTCTTGACATGATGGCTTCAAAACAGCGAGCCTTTGCTGACAACTTCCTCAAGTATATCGACATGGGTAATTGAAACAAATAGTGCCAAGTAGCAAGTCCTCGAAGGCGGTTTCCTATGTCATTCGTCTTTTTTTTTCTTTCAGACAAAATTTGCGACGAGATGACCGAGAATCCCGAGGCGAAGATGGAATGCGAGTACGACTGCGTCATCTGTCAGGCTACCCCTGAAACTCCACAGCCCATGGTCCTCCTTGTAATGCTCTGCGAATCTGGACGTAAGCCTTTCTACAAAAAACTAGTTATTCTTGGAGCCAGCACTGCTCATTTCTATTTGACTCCCCCTAGTGATGGAGCATATGCGCAACTACCCGAACTTACCGCGCCTGAGTGGCGAGCGGATGATGTACAGTCGGAGCTACTTATGCGAGGATTCCTGTGTACCACACACCCTGCCCGTAGTTCCACCCGAGCTCCGACGTCAGATGGACGTACTACCGAGGCGTCGTGCAGCCTCTATGCCCCGCACCACAGAGGCGAGCAATTGCAGGGCCTCGACGCCTTGCCGTATCACTGACACCATAATCATTCCTCCGAGCACTTTGAGCAGCACACCCTCCTGTGAAGCCTCGCGGGGCGATGTCCTAGAACCGGTGGCGTACGTGGAGGATCGGAGGTGGTGGAATCTGGCTCTCCCCCCGGGGATAGCCTCCTCTTTGCCGCTACTGAGATCGGGGGTACTACTGCAGACCTGTGGGCATGCGGTGCATCGGGAGTGCTTTCAACGATATCGGCTTCAGGTTTGTGACCTGTGACTGGCTGTGCTTCAAATCGTATCTAGTATAGTGGTCACAAGTACCGGGAGCTGTTGACCTGGCAGATAGTTTGAGCTTCTATTCATTTAACTTTCAAAACGAGGTCGATTGCGTTTTAGTCTTGGAGCTGCGGGCCGGCGGGCGAGACTGCCAACTGACTTTCCAGCTTCTGGATTCAAAGTTTGTGGTTCTTGTACATTTCCTTGTTTCTTCGTGCAGAGTATGCATCAAGGCGGAATTGGCGTGACCCGTTGGCTCGTCTCGTGCCCGCTCTGCCGTCGTGATGTCCACTTTCTCCTACCTTTGGATCGGAACTACAGTCCTGAGCATTCGGAATCCCATTCAACATCTCAGCAGAAAGCATTGTCGGAGAACAAACTGGCTGAAGGGGCTGATGTGGTAGCAGCGGAGAAGACCTCCGATGTTGCTACTGTTGTCCCTGCGATGGCAGATACGTTGGCACAACAGTCTACTCCTCCCGAAACATTCATCCAGTGTCTTCGCGAAAGACTGGCAAGTGAAGGGCTGGATTTATTTACCCGGCCCTTTGTTCCGCCTCTGGTATTTGATCGGAAGGGATTGAGTTTTATCTCATTGTAGGAAGCTCTTCCTCCGGAGTCGCACAGTTTCTGGACAAATTTGGTGGGAGGTGGCGAGGATGATCCACAGAATCGCTACGGTCTGATTTCTAAACTATTTGGTGATGTCAGTGAAGTACCCATCCTCCTTCGGTATGTGGCTTTCCTCAACCAAGACTCGATTTTTCTAACCCTCCCTGTATCAGTTGATTTCCTACGACACTGAAACAGTATTAGTGCTTTCTACGAGCGCCGATGCTTATCATTCCACTTTCACGGTCTCTTTTTAGCTTTTATCTTGATTGAGTACCAGCTCGCCGCTGAATTCAGATAAGTAACTAGCATCACCCTTGGCGGTGTATTTTTGACTTTTCTACTAGTTGACACCATTCGTAAATTACATCCCTATTTCTATTCTTCCTTTATTAGTTCACAATTCGAGTCAGAACTGTCAGTTCTCATGGTGTACCCGACGCTCTATCAGGGGGTTGCTCGGCGTTGCCTCTTTAGTGAGTGCTTTTCTTTATTTTGTTGCTTAACAGTAAGTTATTTGTTATTTTGCGATCCCTAATTCGTCACTTAATTGTTAGATGCCTGAGGCGATTGTACCATGCTCATTTGAGTGTTGTGCGGATACGGTCCCCAAGATTTCAGTCTTTCTCAATCCCTTTAGTGCGTATCGCGGCTCATAAACGTGATTGTAACTTAATCTATTTTTTAATTTGAAATACATTTTTTTTCATTTTCTGACCCATAAACAGTTGTAAAACCCCTCTGTTCTCTTTTTCTAAGGGGAACTGCTGAACTACTTGCGTTACGTCTACCGTTCTCCCTCAAATCTCTTATCTCTAGTAGACTCGCTTGCCCCACGATCCATTGCGGATTCGAAATTGACTACACCACTTACCAAGTACGCGGTTGGGAGTGAGGCTTCATGCGTTTTGATTACTGCCTTACCAGTGTCTATCACCACTCGTCTTTTTTCAGCTTGAGCATCCCCTTAACGTTCGCCATCTTCAGTGATCCTGTGGACGTTCTCATGACCCTACTGCCCCACGTTTGGCCGAATGAAGGTCCGTCCGGTTGAACAATTTTTATCGAGAAATCAAGCCTTTAAGCCCTTTGATTTGTCTCTGGAGACGTTGTACCTCCTGATAAATGAGCCTGAATACAACAAACAATCTGGTGGGCTTGTTATGCACAGAAATAACATGAACAAAACACTATGTTGCCAAGATGTGATATCTAGAACCTGCAGAGACGTAAATAACCGGCGTATTTGAACCGTCTTTCTGGTACACTAGATTTATGGATTGGACGCTCCTGAATGCTTAGTTCACAACCAGTAATTCTGACGGTAGATGGGCTGTAGGTCCTGCAAACCTGAGGGGATGAAGCTTACCGATTCTTCTTGTGTTATTGCAGAACAATTCTTGGCACTTGGTTCAGCGTGCATTTGCTTGGCGTACGCACGGGCCCTCGTGGGCCTCATCCTAGGCCAGATGCCCACTGGCAACAGCGGCTCCTACATCCACTCGCAGCGCACCTCCATCCACTGTGCACAGGAGCGGATGACAAATGTGAGGCGTTTTCTGTCTTACTCGACTGAGTTTCAAGGCCTTTCTTTCCAGGCCTTTCGCTTGTTTACTTAGGGATCCAATCAAATGTACACTTAGATCCACCATCCGCTAATGAGTAAAGTGTTGGCAGTGCGGATTCCAAATCATAAGCAAGAGTGTGGTTCGATGTTCCTTACCTGATACCCAGACAGTGTATACAGCTCCTCGGGCAATTCAGTAGTATACTACCGAGAATGCAGTTTCATTCCTCTCCCCCTCTCCATCCATCTATTTAGATCCCCAGTCCACTGAAGAGTAATGTGCTAGCTATGACCACGTACCTTGAACAACTGGTAAATCGTGCCTCGCCTAAAGGTGAGCAGGATCCCCCAACCTTTCATTTGCACACCGCGACCTCCAGCGCCTCCTCGACCTGTGAGTGCGTGCCCACGGACCTCGAAATTGCGGCCAGTCTGGATGTGGTGCAACTGAATGCGCCGCCCAAGGAGGCCGGAAGGCAGTTGCAGGACCACCTGATGATGCGCATTTTGCCCACCCTGCGTTTGGTTGCCCTCACTCTTGCTCGCTGGCGTGACAGCCTCCACATTCGTGACGATGACTTCTCTGGACCTGTAGTGGCGCTCTCCCTGCCTTTTGTGGGTATACTGGCCAATCCCAAGAAAACTGAACCGGAAAAGGTGGGTCATGGTGTCTATGAGGGAAGAAGTAGCTTTAAGCTGTAAGTCTGTCCTGAGTTGCTCCCTGCGGGAGCAGGGTCTAATGTTACCGATTATCAAGGGTCTGAAAGTTTCAAGGCGCATTTTTAGGGCCAACTGGTTAGGGAGTTCCTCGCTCTGATCGCCTTCCTTGGACTGGGTTGTCCGGACCTGTCCACCGACGAAGATCAAGATGACCCAATGCTTGGTGTCGGCCCCCTACTTCCCTTCGTGCAGTCAGCCGCGCTCCGTTCGGGTCTCACGACCCACCTGGACGGTGCAAGAGCCTTGGATGATCTGCTACGGCGATGGATCGGTCAGATTACCTCCGCGGCTGCCTCGGAGAAAGGGGACGAGAAGTCTGCTAGCCTAGCAATTGTAAAAGACGGCTCCACTCCCCTTCCGGCCTTCCCCCCTCCGCCCTCCTCCCCTCCACCACCGCCGCCACCACCACCGCCTCGGCCTTCACGTCACACCCTTCGACCAGTGTATACCTTCCAACCAAGGAGTCTACAAGGCAGTCAGTACCTTGTTGCACAGCAGAGTGCAACCGGAGCCGGATTGAAGGCCACTCTGTCGGATTGGATACAGAACATGGGGGTATGTGGCATTTGTCTTCCCTTCGCCTTCAACAAAATAACATCACAAGTCTGGATTGTTGATAAATTTTTAGTCGTTGCAGTTTCTTTTCTGTGTATCGTTTGGTAGGTCTCCCATCATGGTTGTTACTCTATTTCGTAGCCTCTGATGACGATGGGGAGACAGCTGTACCCACCACGACTGATTCGGCCACCAGATGCGTTTGACGACCTATTCAATAACCTGCAAGTTGTGAACTGTGCCACTTCAAGACACCCCTTTCAAAAAAATATCCTCTGCCTTATCTGTGGTCAGCTGCTGTGCGACATTTGTTTCCCCAATTTGGCCCAACTGCTCTTTCAGGTAGTCGTCAGGTCCCCTCTCCCGTCTATCCTTCACTCTGTTCACAAGTTACGTTTGCCTGTCTACCCTCTAGCACGCGTATCGATGTGATGGTTTTGTGGGCGTAGCGCTGGAGATCAACACCTCCCTGGTTCACGTCTCGATGAACATGAGTTCGTGTGAGTGGGGTTCCATCTATCTGGACTCCTATGGTGAAGAGGATCTCGATTTGAAGTATGCGATTGTAGTCTCCCCTTCTCTCTCACCTCACCATCTACTATCACCCGCGCTTTTTTGTAGACGAGGTAAGCCGCTTTTCCTCAACGAGGAGCGATTTGCGTTGCTGGAGAGCCAGTGGATGTCGCACTCGTTTCGACACGTGCTGAAGCACTGGCGTCATTACTAGTGAGACAGCGGCAGCAGCGCGTGCACAATTATTTAGCCTTTCACCACCACAATCACCATCAGCATCACCATCAAGACACAACGAAAAAAAACAGCTTACTTCCCCCAACTTTTACTTTTAAAATCTGTGGAGGTAGGACTGTCGCCCCCTCCAATTCAGACGTGACTGTCTTCGCCCCCCTCCCACGTCCTCTTGCTCTTATTCTTCCATCTTTTGTCTGTCGTGTCTCAACGTATATGAGTTTGTCCCTGCACATACACACGCGCAAGCATGGGGGCCAGTGAACTTCTTCTCCTTCTTGTCGCCAATGTACCATCCAGATCCGGCTTTGGTGGTGACCGCGAGGGCGGGGTGAGGGAAGAAATTTCCAAGGCTTTTTTTTCCTACTGGCCCAAATGTGTAGGCTGTTTGGCCGTTACTGCGCTTTAGAGAACTAGTGGAGCGTTTTAGCTTTTGTCACGCCAAACTGAAAAGGTTAAGGCGGTGACATCCATTTGAGCTTGACAATCGCCGCTAGGAGTTCGCGCCGCCGAACCGTCCGAGCACATCCGGCAGGGGGGTGGCAGTATAATGGGGCCACTCAGCTCTACAGAAATGGTAGCATACGGCGTCAGCCATGAAAAGGGTAAAAGAAGTGGAGAGAAACTAGTGGATGCAGACCTTTGACTGGGCAAGACGAGTAGGCAGCTCAAAAGGTGATTTCGAATAGGGGTCATTGGGTCAAATGTCAAGGGTAGACTCATTATTACTGGAGGAGTTGGGAATCTCGCATTCGTCTGATGAATATGTGCCTCGGTCAGATGGGCGCCCTTTATTTTCGTTCTTCATTTTTGAATGTTGATCCATGGTATTTGTTTCTCTCTGGTGGTGGCCAGGCGCGCTACTAAAAAGGCAATAAGTAGGCTGCGGTTCAAATGGCCGTATCCACCCTCTTATTTGAACTGGGATAGACTGATATTTTTGAATGAAGGTGTGGTTTTATAGACTTCAAACTTAACGATTTTCCTCTCACTCCAGTGCATAGAGGAGTTGGTGAATCCGCTAATGCCCCCGTTTAAGTGAATTGTCGATTTTGGTGGTCAGACCGCATTCACTCAGTGTGCTCCTCTACTACTTCTTCCACTGATAAATTTCTCCGCTATCATCAAGGTTATTTTAACAACTGAACAGTCTAAATTGATGACTTCAAAAGCCTGACTCGCTTTAATTCAGCTGATAAGCTTGAAGGAATATTTCTCCTTCATTTGATGCTCATTCACGAAATAGGAGAGAGGAGCAGAAGGGAAGAAGCACTCCCGTAGTGATATTTTTATTTTCTCCTCTCGTTCTCAAGGTAGCACACAACTTCAAGCAACAATTCCCACTGAGAAAGTGGGTCCCGGACCTCACAAATCGACTTTGCATTGTACCAATGCTTCTTCTTTTTTGAATGCATCCGGCAATGAGCTTGCCATTAAATCAAAAATTTGCTACTCTGCTTGATTACAGAGGATACATAGCCCAGCCCACGCAAAGCATCATAGTCCATGGTGAAGTTCTCATTACTAATAGCTTTGCATGCGGGATCGCTTATTAAGGGTAAGTGGCAATGCGTCAGACACTTGAAGTTTCATGAGCCATTTTATGCCACATCGGGAGAACACAGCTGCAAGTGTTTCTTCTTTACTTGTTCTACGTTTAAAAAGGAGGCAAACCCGTCTGCCTGATTGCCTCAAGTCAAGTCTCTTTCCAGCCAGATGTATCATGGTCACGAGCTCACCTCAAAGTTGGGAAAGCAATGGGTGCTATCATCCAACTTGTTCCAATGAATTACACTTCGAAGCGCCCAGAGGTAACATCTATGGTCCCTTATACAACGATACAGTTTCTACAAGTACTGAGTCATATCTTTAGCCCAAGCTCTCAGGCAAGTTTTGAAAAACGGGAAAGACTAGCTTTTATTGGGGAAGTTTTTAACTTTTAAGATTCAAGACTCTATAGCCCTTTCTTCCTTTCTAAGATCACCCTTTGTGCTTTGGGCAGGTAGAGCTATTTGTTGATGCCACAAAAACAAAGCTGTTGAATTTACTCGGAAAAAGGGCAATTGGTGCCATCCTACAGAAGTTTCTAATGGTTCTTTTGAGAATTCAGAACCATTCCTTGTGAACTTTCTAGTCATCAGCTAAGGCAGAAAAAGGAGGAGATTTCACTTAGCTAGCTCAGTAATGATCCTGCTTTGGCTAAAAAATCTAGCTGAATTCTTCTCCAACTATTGTGTCTACAAAGGTCGAGGAAGATGTTGCTATCGTCCGAACACAAATTGAACGGAAACCGGCTTATCAGGCAGCTATGCAACAAATTCCCATCTTCTAGGGAGGGATGATCAAATGCACCATATCTACCCAACACCCGACCAACCCTTCTAGTTCTCGTCAATAACATTTCGACAGCTATTTCAAGTTCGGTCTTAAAGACAAAAAAGTGCTACCAATATAATGAGAACAGCTGGAAGAAATCCTATTGTTAGGTTTTCATGCAGACTATATTAATTTAACGCTAAAAAGCCTTTCCTGAAAAACAATGCCATGACGTGCATAACTCGCCACTGGTAAATTAATAAAAATTTTGTACGAACAAAGAATAGTGTACACTTGCTTATCTTATTTGCTGTGGACTGGATTTCCTTTCGAGACAGTACATTTGGTTTTCTGGTAGAATAACCAAAATCCGAATTAATTAATTACAGGTTTTTCAACCAATCAAATGCCCAGTGTTCTAGCGCGACTTTCAGACTTCACTCGTAAAGATGGATTTAACACCCTGTATGTGAACTTTCCATCTAGTTTCATTAATCCAGGCCCTTTTTCTCTAGGAACGAGTAGAGCAGATCCCGACGAAATAATTCCAGCGCAAGTGTCCCGTGGGAATCCTATAGGGAGTCGTCAAATCGTACTTAAATTATTTCAAATTATGTTTCCTCACTTAGTGTTGCAACATTAAAGGACTTAAGTATGTCAATGCTTCTTTAAGTGGAAAAGATCGGAGGTATGTCTGTGCTTATTATGAATCTGCATTTGAGTGGTTGTCTTTGCTTATTCTCTTCGTAATGCGTCTTAATTTTTTAATGATATGGTGGGGAATCATCTTGTTTACACTGTACTTGTGTACTACTTTTAGCTATGCCACGATTATCTACAATAAAAAGACAGCGAAGATTGAAATATCTTATAATCTGCCGGAGTTCCTATCACCCAAGTTTGGTTTGTAGTTCTTCTCTTTTCTCTAACCTACCCTAGATGTCGAAGTTATTGATGGAGAATCTTCTCGTTCTTTGGCTGTTGATGTAAATAACCTTTACTTTCCGCACTTAATTCTTTAGCCTCATGCTTTGACAAATACGTTCGGTTCGGTATGGGGCAAAAAGTACCTCCGTGACTTAGATGAAATGTCTGCGCAAGCCGCTGCTGTTAATGACGCTGATGTTCTACAGAGAGTTGCTTTTGGGAAAGCAGCATTGAAAAAGGATGCCAAAAAACTAGGTAAATAACTTCATCCTTGCTGCTGCACTATTATGCTTTAAGAACTTGTATTTATTGTTTTTTTGCGTTGTGTGTATGCTGCAGGTCAAGCTGACATAAAGGGCGGTGTAAATGGTGATAAGGTGACTCAGCAGGAGCTATTGCTGCCTCCCTTTGACCAAATAACGCGTTTCGTTGCCCAGATCTTTCCGATTGGCAAAATTTTGCCCCCAGCGGTGGCCTCCAGTCTAGCCAAAGAGGCAAAAGCCTTTTCTGAAGCCGACGAAAGCATGCACAAGCAGTGGCTCTTGGAGGGCAATTATCCCCGCTTCATCATTGATCGTTTGGCTTACCTCCCGATGGACAATGCCGAAATTGCGGGATTTTCAGCACCGGGCGCTAAGAGAAAGCGGCAATCTCCGGATAGTGTTGGTCAGCCCGTAACAAGAATGGAAATGGCCAAAAATTTGGCGTTGCTCGTGCATATGTTTAAGTTGTTTCAACTGAAACCGAGGGAGTTGCAGCATCGAACACCCCTTCCTGACACTCCCCAACCTGTCATGAAGCATCTTTTAAATGAGTTTACAGCTTTCGTGTTTAAAGAAGGGTGTGAGCGCCTCAAAGCTAGGTAAATCGCTTTCCGAACTCAGCTTAAAAATAAACAATAGGATTAGTTGACCCTTCATCGTTTTTCTTCTAGGGTGATAACGCCGGTACTGCGCGACAAATTGATATGCCACATTCTAGTCCTTCTGCTTCATTGCGACAGCTTTGCCACCGTCATTGACACTCTTTCCGTCGACTTTAAAATGCCCTCTTTGCGGTAAGCTACTGCGTCGGCCCTCTCGGGCCAACCTTAGCTTCACTGATGTCGAAAGCGTTACTATATAGGTAATAAGTAACGTGAGGATTAGATTTTTTTTGCTATTAGTCCGCTAATATGGTAAACCTGGAATAAAAGAGTCTTCATGTATCCAAGACCCGTGATTTTTCGTATTTGTGATAGCCACGGTATCCACTCCATATCATTGCTATTGGATTAATGATTAAGCGAACTCATCGGTGTCTTCGTGTAGGTGAATTAGCGGTTTTGTTGGTCATCTTTGTTAGAGGGTCTCCGCTATAAAAGAGGTTGCTTTGACTACTAAACCGCCAACTTTGGTGACTCTGAAAAGCTACATCTCTTTTTCACTTTTTAGCTTGAAGAAGTATTTCCAATTTATTGGATGCTCATTTACGAAAAAGGAGACGGGGGCGAGTAGTACTGACCAGAAGGAGGGGGGGAAGCAATATCACACGGTGGCACGACTATCGGCTCCCCTCGTTTTCAAGGTAGACCACGTCTTTAAACGATAATTCCCACCGAGGAAAGTGGATCATGGACTCCATTCATCGGCTTCACGTTGCATCAGTGCCTACTCCCTGCCTCCGACAACTTCGTATGTGTAGGTATATGTATGTGTACATACGATAACTTATTTCGGATCAACAATTTTGTGTACAGTTCGGATTGTGTGTCTGATGTTGGCATCTTTCCATCGGTGGAATTGGTTTGTTAGTTAATCACAACATGAGGCATTTGTTTGGTCCCAGGATTGCATCAGTGGTTTACGATTATGCTCGACTAGTGTGTGTGCATGTGTGTACACATTCATAACTGATTGTTTAACTCAAGTGGGTGTAATGCCGGCATGTCCACCTCAAGTTCCATGGTGCAGTTCTTATTTGCTTATTGCATTATCCCTGGTGTTGCAGTCTCCGTAGGTGTAGGTGCAAACATGACAAGTATTTTCTTTAACTCAAGTGCATCTTGGATAGGGGTCAAAGGTCGCGTGTATTTCGCCCTTAGCTGTCAAAACTGTTTTAGCTGTATTGGTTGCAATTCAAATTGACTACTTTTATGTATGGGAACGATATTGTTTTAGCAGTTCACTTGGCTGTTCGAGCTTTTCCCTCTTTGTGATGTGGCTGCAGACTTGGTGTCATGGTGTGACGTCCATGGATGTGGACATTTACCCCTTGTAAGCGCTGATAGCAGCCTCCTCTATTGGTGTACCTTGCCATGGTTTCACAGAGGATCACTAGGGAAGAATTAACAAGGTGTTAACCTGTGGCCAGTCCCCCGATTTCCATCTCTGTACAATGGATGCCAATAGAGCGCATTTGACCTTAAGGTATGCGAACTTTCAGCCCCTCGAGGTCACGATAGTCCCCTCCATATGTTGCCTTTAGGCGAGTTTTGCTATTGTACACTAGGGATAAACAAACTCTCAGACTGGTATATCCTATGGCTTCTTGTATTCGCCTAAATGATTGCACAGTGATGCAGAACGTGGTCCGATTGGAAACACTGCTATCGGGGACACATGTAATCGTGGCTCTCGGGTCGTCTCTTATGACTTAATGAGGTGTCGGAGTTTGGAGTTGGCTTTGTCACGGCCGTGCAGAACTACTGAAGCCGTAGTGCTTCATACTGCCATCTTGAAAGTATCGCTACCGTCATCAGGAACTCTGGCTTTTTGGTACATTTTTTAAGTCACTGGCCGTGTTACTGTCATGGTGGAATTCACACTTTTTAACCTCTTAGATTATTAATGCCGCAAAAATGGAGCCACTTAACGGGGTTTTCGACTTTGCCCCCTGACTTGTATCCGATAACCACTATAATTCGTTGCCGTCTGGATGGTGGCATCTGATACAACCAACTAATGGTGCGATCGCTGGGCTATGAAACTCCTCTACAACAATTCCCCGGATGTTGCAGGTGGCAAATCTGAGGTTCTAAATTCAGTCTCATCCTTCCGATTAAACACAGAACGAATATGGTTACGCCTTGGGGGATTCTGCATAGTTATTGAATCGAATGGGTTGAACAGCCGAGCCGAGAGTGTCGTCACTACTGAATACTGGGAATGGGGTTTACAGACTTATACCACAGTTAACAGAAACCGCAGCGATCTGTCTAAAAGACGTAGTTAAGAGTGAACTCTCCGTGTTGATATTCCATGTGATTGAGCGCAGGCCAGTGTCGCCGGTCATCACAACCTCATAGATGGAAGTTGGTGCACAGCAGTGTACGTAATTTATCGTTGAGGGAAAACGCGGACCTTAAAGCAGGACATACCCTTATTGGGTATGGCAACTAATTTTGTGGTCAGGAAAGACTGTTTATGAGTTTCACATCAGAACTCAGCGAAGGATAGAATATGGCAGAGTTGAAAAACAACGATAAAGTAAAATAAATAGAACGTAGGGTTGCTAAATTAATTTCTTATTCATAAAAGTTCATAATTACCATTTGATAGGTGAAAGAAAAGCTTAAGTCAGGAGGAGTGCACAGCCACTAAAAGGAGATGTAGTCGCTGGCGAAGATAACACCGAGGACGCAAGCATAGCCGGTGATCAACCCACCAACCTGAATCACGAATATTCCGAAAGATGATTCGCGTTTCTTTTCCGCCTCTTCCAGTGTCTGACGAATAGAGGGCAACTGCAATACCAAATAAACGGTGGTACTAAACTACAAGTTTGTCTGGGTATTCATTATCAGACTCCTACCATGTCCGCGAGGCTGACGTGAAGGAAGACGCCAGAGGTGGCCGCAAACACGTAGAGAGCACCGGAAGACACCTCACCAATAACCAGACCAATAATAAGCCCTAGATAAGCAGTGCAGGCAGAAGCAAAGTTGGCACAAATGGCCGATTTGACGGGGAAACCGGAAGAGATGAGGACAGCAAAGTCACCTATAAGGAAGGTGAATGGATTTAGCTCAAACATTTGCGGTGAAGCTTCTTCAAATTACCAAGCTCATGGGGTAGCTCCTCAAAGAGGATACACAAACAGATGGCAACGCCAACAGTGGGGCTTTCAGTGAAACCCACTGCAGTTGCCATTCCGTCCATGAAGTTGTGGATCGAGTCACCCAGAAGAATCATCCAAGCCATCGGAGCAATTTCGGTGAAATCCTTAAAACTACATTTTGGACAGCATGATTTGCGTCGCGATGTTGGTGTAATTGGTCGAGGTGTCGCTGAGTGGCCAATTTTCATGGGCAATGTATTCTCCATCTAGGAGAAACAAAATTGCTGATCACGATTTAACATTCTTTGGTTCCTTTAAAATCATATATATAACCGACAAACACCTACTTTAATTGTGGAGTCCAGAGAATCATTGGGGTCGCTACTCTGTGGCTTTCTCAACTAAAGTATCGAAAAAACGCGTTAAATATTGACGTCAGCCAAATTTTGCATCTGTGAGCAGTAGAATTCCCACCTTAAATATTCGCGGTATGATGAGGAGGAGGTATTCAATGAAGAAGAAGATGAGAAGACCAGCAGGAACACAACTTAACTTTAGAAGGTAGGTGCGACCCTGCCCACCGAATTCCAGGGGCATATCTGCCATTCGCATTGCCTAAAAACACCGGGCTACTCGTTATATCAAAGCAGGTGAAGGAACGCAGGTCCGTCTGACTAAATGAGATTAAGCAAACCCACCTCCGGAAGGAGAATCAATAGAGCTGCAGAACACAGGGCACTAACTGCTAAAGCCATCATGTAGCTGAGTAGAAGGTTGAAGCGTTTTAGGCGTTTGATTGGGATACAAACAAAACCAATTAGCGAACAAAGGTTGTTAAAAGTTACTCCCAACAATGCGAAGACAATAGCTTAAAGAGAAGGGAGAACATTAGCGTTAAATGGGGTGAAAATACAACACAATGATGCACAGCATTCGCCCATTCTTAAACTTACTTTCCGCTACACTAAAGTGCCTTCCTACTTTTGAGTTCACTACCTGAATCACAAATGCTTCAAAGGCAGAATCATTGACAGATGAAATTGTTAAAACACTGGTGAACTCCTCTACATTTGGGAGCTAAAACAAGTAAGATTCGGGTAAGCATATGCTCCATATCATAAGCAAACACCATCTTAATACCTATTAAAACCCTCAACTTGCATTTGGTAACGGTATCGTGATAAGGGGATTTGTTTCATAAACACCATCGTGCAGGGGTTCAAGGGCAGCTGTCTCATTTGGGATGGCGTTGGTAACGGCGTGATTCGATACGGCGTGGAGAACCATACTTGGTTCTGCCACAACTAGCTGTGGTCCATAAAAGCTAATTGAGAGAAGTGTAGCCAGTAAGAGGACTCGGGACCAGTGGTGAAATGGGCAACTTGGGGCTGCTGGCACCATGAGCAGTTTAGAGGGTGATACCATATAGCAATGGGCACAAAGGTAATTGGAACACAAACACTACTGTCAAGTGTCTGTAGCAAGTGAAGAAGCGTGCACAAATGGAGTGTACGCCACCTGCAGCCACAACCACAACGAAATAAGAGGACGAGTTTTCAAGTATGCACCCTAAACCTTGGGGTGTGAAAGGAGGCAGTAAAACGCGCTAGGCACTTTTTGGCAAAGTTTTTTAAAAGTCCCAGTACAAGGCAATCGCTATTGAGTTACGTAAATTTATATTCCTACACAAGCGACAATTGGCAATGGAGTGTAAAGTCCTTTAAGAGGATAAAAGCATTCTAAGTATTAAGTAAATCTCATCGCACTTTAAGGTCAATGATAGTAAGTGAAGCGTTTATTTTAGTTTGACAAACCTATTGTATTTTAATTATATTTTTTTTATTCGAGTACTATCCAAGATAACAACGCACAGAAGTGCAGGCTGTTTGCTACCATTCCCGTTCAGCGGACCGAGATTTCCATGAAACCGAAAGAAGGTTTAATGCTAATGCAGAATAGACCTTTGATACACGGTGGGGCTTAGAACTACTGGCATGGCCCGGAGGCCTGCTCACATGGGGAAGGCACAATGGCGTGGCACCTAAGTTGTCTCTTCACCAAAACCGAAGGTTACATTATCAGCCGAAGTATTACATCTTGCGATGCCACATTGCACAGTAAAAGCAAAATGTTAGAAGTCCTAACTTCTCACCTGGCTAAAATACTTTACCTCCCACGTAAATCCTTTTTTATTTCCATCGTCTTTCCTTGAGCCTCACTTGCATAAAATTTTGCGTCGGTCATCAGAGTGCATTTAATTCTTTAAAAACCAAAAGTGAAATAGCAACCTCATCTATCGAATTTTCCTGCTTTTAAGCAGGTATTTTATCAAATCGCTAGTGACAACGTCAAAATGCGCCTTTAATCATAAGCTTCCTCCCTCAGAATCTATTCTAGGCCACCGTAAATATCCGGGTAATCCAAGACACTAAGTTAGAAGAGTGTTGAGGCAATAAGGACTAGCTCGTCATTAATCAAGTAAATTATACCCATAGAGAGTTCTTTTATTTTACCTAAAATTGGGAAATGATAATGAGAAGTACACGAAGAACCTCAACAAATAGCAAAACGAGATTTCCAGGGCGTGCTTCTGAACAGAGTCGATGGAAGAATTCGGTCCTGTTTAAATGTGGACTTCTCCCACGTATTACCGTGGCAAGTCTCTTTCTGAAGAAGCTTCAAGATTTGCCTACGGTCCTGTTCTACGGCAACCGTAGCGGCCGATCAAATGGAATGACCTCATAGCCTGGCTCTCCGAGCTACATCTTCAAGCTAGGTGAGCTTCCAAATGGTCCTCACTGATTCCTGCAAGCCCCAGGCAAACTAGAAGGGGGTCCATCTAATTCCCTCTCAGCCTTTGGTGTAGCCAGATTACTAGTAAATCTCAGGGGTTTTTAGCCTCTTAACCAAACGGTTAGGTTTGTTTCATCATCAGAAAGAAAAAAAAATGCTGTTGCACTTCAGCACACAAAGAAAAATTGGATAATGGAATTTCTGATATGAGCAGAATTGGCTTCAAATGCGATTACTTGTGCCGATTTTCTATCTAGTACTACAACCATCCTGAATTTTTCCAAGGCATCTTCTCCACTTATCAACTCATTAAGAACATAACAACCATTCTGACATAGAAAAAAAGTGTTAGTAATATTTACAATGCTTTTTCCGGGGCTTTCTTTATACCTATGAGCAAGCTAGACGACCTCTAAATGCAGTTTTCTCATATCACCGACAATGAGAGTAAAGAACTTCTAGAGCTACTGGTCAAACGCAGGATTACATACTCATAGCGAGGTGTTAATCTGAGAACAAACCAACATCAAGAAACATATGGTGGACACTAGTGGGGCTAGTTCGGTCTGGCTGCCGCCTAGACGCGTATCACCTCCTCTACCAGAAGAGGTAAAACGTCTGGTGGAAGAGATGCTCAGAGGTGAAGTCATAAATCCGTCAAAAACTGTGAACCTCGTCGATTGCTCCGGTAAGGAAGGGAGATGAAAGCCTTTGATTGTGCTTTGACCTCAGAAAGCTGCCCTCAGTAACAAAGGAGGGTGGGTTTTCACAACCCCACTTAAAAAATTTGTTAGATTTTTCTACAAGGGTTGAACTGATTTAATTGTAATACGATAGTGATTTATCCCTTGGTATTATTGAGGCACCACTTTTGATACTTTGAATTAGCCCTCTTGTACCTCGCTGGGTGGGCTGACCTTCGGGCCATGCCAGTAGCCCAGACACCTTCTCTATGCTGAATATATATTATGTCTTCTTTCGTCTTCAGGGAGCCTCGGGACGCTACACAATACCCTAGATTTAATATAGAAGTGCTGGCAGGTAAAAGTGACAGAAACGGATAGAAGACAGCTTTCATATTGTCAAATTGACATTTTGAATCCCAGGCGTTGCCTTTTAATCCCTGTAACGGAATGATCATTTCCCAAACCACAATGTCCTCGGTAAAGATATTTGGGAGCAAAACCTCAATCTAATATTAATGTTGGACCGTCTACCTAGTGCGGGTTTGACTTTAAACCCAAACGCTTGGTCAGCTCCGTCCGACAGAGGGGATGGCGTTTACCAAAGCCAGCACAAAGCAAGGCGGGACCTGACCAAATCAACCAACCAAAAAACACTCCGTAGTTTCCTATATTTGGCAAGTTACTACAATTATTACGTCGAAGATTTTGTCAAGAAGCTCAAAGAATGTCTAGTTAGAGGGAGAGCACTATTAAGTGTCTAAAGAATTAAAGCGGAAGCTCTCCTTTGCACCAGTTATAGCATTACGTAATATGGAATCGGGTGCTCTGTAATCCGCACCGGGGACTGGCATCAGTGATGCAGTTGTGGGCGGGGTAACATCATTGGGTACAGAGGAGGATGGAAACCACATCATCGTTTGCGCAAGTACTAAACTCAACAAACGGGTGAGTCAGAAAAGCGTAAACCAACATGAACTCTTTGCCGTTTTCTCAGTATTCAGACACCTCAGACATTACCTGGTAGTAAGGAAGGTCATAGTAAGAATGGATGATTAGGTACTGACTGGGTTAAAAACGCCGAAGGTCATAGACCATTTGGTGGTCCTCTGGTATGAGAGACTGTGAAAATATGGTTTTCCAGTACAGTACAGTACAGGAGCGGGGGTACATCTAGTCATATAGATGAACTATCTCGCAGACTAAGCCTTGCAGAAGCGTTTTGAGCGAATCCGCTAAAGACCAATTGTAACTTTGAGGTGCAAGAGATTTGTTACATCCTCCTCCACGATAGTGGTGAAAGAGATGTCCCTATAAGGTTAGGTGACCGAAAGCATGTGACAAAAGTGGTCGGAATTATATGTAGAGGACGAGGTTTTACTCTCTATTCCCTAACCGTTTAGTGGTGCCAAAATCATCAGTGCAAGCAATTCTGTACGAGTTGCATGAGCAGTTGGATTATACAGAGGAAAAGAAGATGCTAGATGCCTCGAACAGGGGGTATCAGTGGCCTTTGCTCACCCAAGATGTAATTGATTTCTACCGAACCCGTCTTAGACGAAGAAGTTTCCAAAGACCTCACCCCACCACGATAAAACTTTAGTGTTTGCCCACAGATTACCGAGAGAAGGGAGTAGAAATTGATATTGCTAGTTCCAACTACTTCTTCGTGAAGATCATTGAGGACACAAGTCGCCAAAACAATTGATTTTTTCTTCAGTCGCTGATTGTGTTGACACAAAGTTCCAAAAAAGGTGCCTAACAATAAAAGCGTTAATTTTGACAGCCAACTTGTATCGAACTGTGCGCAACCTTCTCAATTTCTAAGACACGATGACTCCTTAATATCCGGAGCGTAATTGACATTTGGGAAGTACAAACCGTACCCTGACTGGACTGCTAAACTCTGTTTGGGCATGCAAAACCACGATATTGAGAGTAATGCCTCGGACGATTCCTTCTTGTGTACAGACCTACAATATATACATCAATCACACTTTCACTGTTCAGAAGGCTCAAAAGTCATTAGGTAGGAGTACTAACCAGTGGTTCCAAAACAAACCCCAAGGTAGCAACAGACAGTGAACCAGAGCACGTACTGTGATAGAAATTGGAGATGAGACAAAATTTCAACATCGCGAGAGAACACTTACGTCTGTCAAATGTCAGGTAGAAGGGCTATAACGACAACAACGGTCAGGTTAAAATCTGCAGAGAAGGGGACCTTGCACAGCTATGCAGGCCGATCCCGTTTCCCAGAGTGCAATGCAAGTTTACTCATCCGTGGAGCAAAAGTGTTCGCCTAATAATGAAAGTCATGTCACCACCAAACTAACTCGTGTGCAATACACAGCTTCGCATCCAAAAATTTACCGTTCATTACAACAGAGTGCATCCGTAGATAGGCACAACATATGCTGGATACTAAGATGAAATCTATGTGCTGACGTAAGAAAAAACCACCGCAAATGGCATATGCAGGCACTAACGACAGTGCTCAGAAAGAAGAGGGTGTGTTTGAATGTACCTACTAGATGAGAAGTGAAAAGCGGGGATAACCAAACACATTTAATCATGGAGGGTAAAACCAACAACTGCTCTCTTTAAGGCATTTTAAACTTTCAAAATCCATATTACGGATCAAAAAAAGATGTCTTCTTCCACCCACTCTTCTCTCGAAACAGGTATGAGAAGGAAGACGCTAGTCCCGTTTCATTTCTTCTGCTTCACCCGCGCAGATCAGAGTAATCATGCTACCGAACAGGGCTCATATTCGACCAAAGACAGGAAAATATCAAAGAATGGTTGACTATTGAAATGAGAAAGGACAATGATATTGCATGTTTACCTTTAAAATGCGATATGAATTGCTTAAAAGGTAAATAATAAGGCAATAAATTTTCGTAGCTTTTCACATTTTAAATCAAAAGTGCTGTTTAAGCGCGAAACGTAAATTAAACTTAGTGATATTACTAATCTGATTTCAATAACCTCATTGTCCTAGTGTCGGGACGTACTTAAGCCCAAAAATTCGGTTTAACATGCAAAATTCAGTGCAGCACTAGGCTACTTTTTGTTGCTAAAATTCATTTTGGCAGTTCAAATTTAATAAATATACCAGTTTGTTTGACTTCTTCATTTGATTGCACCACGCCAATGCAAAACCCTTATGAATCAATCTTTAAATACAGGTGGGTGGTGCGGACTTTCGAGTTGTACTTCGGTTACTGTTCTCGTATGCTCTCTTCCTCTTTTTACTTAAAGCTAATTTGGTATTGGTTTCATGCTGACGTTGGTTTGCTGAGATGCGCCCTACTTGTAAAGGGTCTTGGTCATTTTTGGCGCCATTCTACCATCTCTCCTTTGAACTTTTTAATGTTCACCAATTTCACTCACATTACATACTTTTGAACGCGCTGAAAAGTCTTGTTTCCCTTCTATCTTTTTCATTTTTCTTAAATTGCTTACCCATTACCGCATAGTCTTTCAAGTGTGAGACGATGTGACAGCGTTGAAATTTCCCGAATTCATCGTAGGCCACATGCAACTTTACTGAATGTTTTGTTGATTTTGATTCATTTGTAAGTACGACCAGCTTTAAGTCTATTCTATTATTGTGTCTAGTTTTGGAATTAAGTTTCAGTTTATTTCTCTATATAGATGGCGTCCACATTGGCATTTCTGACAGCTGTGGGTTCTCCTACCTCACTTTTTCGGCATTGGACTGTGGTGATTGTCATATTGTCACTCCTTTCAACTGACAACCCCGGATTCTTTGTTGCCAATGCAGAGCCAACTTTTGTGTTGCATGGCCTATCAGCTCCGCCTGCCGGTCTCGTGCCAGATCCAAACTCTCCTAATGCCAGTGCAATTGCTCCGATCACAGTTAAGATGTTAGGCAATGTTTCTTTCGATTCAAATCCGCTAGTCACTGTACTTTTGAAAAATGTACGTCGTTTCTTATGCTCACATCTTGTCTAAGACTGTAATTAGAGCTTATACCATCCTAATGGTCTCGTATTTTCGTTTTAGTTTCAGAACGTCGAAGAAACCAAGGCACTTTTAACAATTTTTTCATCTAACGATTCAGCTTTCAATAATTTTGTAATCGAAATCTCAAATCCGCCCCATTTAGCGCGCCGATCTCTTGTAGAAAGTAGGTATTGTTGGCTTCAATGCACATAAACTATTTGGAAAGCTTACACCCTTCTCCCTTTGCGCAATATGTAACAACAGTCCCGATGCACAGAGGTAGTTTTTCGTTGTTCACGTCTAGGTTCGGTCCCTGTTATTCCTCCTCGCTTCACCTTCGTTAAATTTTCCCCTATCCTAATGCATTTTTCCGATGGCGAACATTAAAGGAGTGAATTGGCATAGTCACATCATGGGAAAAATATTTATTATTTTCATGTGTTTTGGCTAAACTTGCGGTGAATTTTGGGGGTGTTTGTTTGGTGGTATGAGTTTGTATAATTGTCACACAGTTGGTTTAGTGTGCTACCTTACTGCTATCACAGTTAGACTTGCATCTCAAAGCGAAGAATTTGGTCAGTCACAGCTTCACTTCTTAATGGCCCTGTCTTCTCTTCTTTCTCCAGCGATAATCTACTCATTCTTGGCTGTTACCGTCACAAACCTCTGCGCATTGACCGGTTTCTTTTGCATTCCCATCAAACGTTCAAGGCATTTCCCCACACTGCTCAATTTCATGATGGCTCTGGCAGTCGGGGCACTCTTCTGCACGGCTGTTCTCGTTCTCATTCCCGAAGTAGGTAGTTTCTTTTCGATCATCAGTCACATGCGAACATTTGTTTTTAAGAGTGAGGGTTAATGTATCAAAATGGAAGAGGAATATCAGTTTGGCTCAGATGCTTCACCTGCATTTCAGTCACTGCGAATGGCAGAAATGCCATTGGAATTCGGCGGTCAGGGTCGTACCTACCTCTACAAATTCAGCTGCGTGCCGATTGGTGCCCTCTTCTTCTTCATCGTGGAATACGTCCTCCTGATCCTGCCCCGACTTTTGAAGGTGCGTGTATGCTCGCTTTGGCACCGACCCACATTCAAGCAACTAGTTAATTATTCATTGCCGTTGGCCAAAACTTGACCATGCAAATTAAGTATTATGCTGCCTCTTTTATCAAGTTCTCTGGGTGTGTTGTGCAAATGGGCCTGTATTTCTGTCTGACTGGCGAATCAGTTCATTTGCGATCGAGAAGGAAATGGTTTAGCTAGTGCAATATATAACAATAACTAGGTGGTGTAATAGATGCACTAAAATCATTCTTTTAATTGCAGTGGAGTATAGCATCAGACAATGACAAATCATTGGATGGAACGGAAATCGGGGATACGAAGAATTGGGATGAAAACTCCAATGCTCCAAAGTCGGATTTTCCTCAGGTGAGGTTTTTTTATTGTAACATACTTTTCTTCCAAAATTGGGCACTGTTACATCTGCTCTTCCTCCCCAGCCGCAGATCTCAGGAGAAAGCGCTGAAGTACTGCGTGACGATGATTTGGGTTCCATTGACAGCGTCTACATGTCGCAAAAGTCTGTGATTGCGTCGCGTCGGCGCTGCAACTTCCACTTTAGTCGCGAAAAGTTTTCCAAAATCGCCCCAGTCGCATGGATGATCCTTTTCGGTGATGCTTTTCACAACTTCATGGATGGCATGACCATTGGAGTGGGTTTTACGGAGAGTCCAACGATAGGTATCGCTCTAACTCTTAGCATCATCTTTGAAGAACTGCCCACTGAGCTCGGTGAGTGACTTGATCCGCTAGGCTAATTTGCCCCTGATCGTTAGCCGGCATTACTAACGAGATGGTCTGACCACAGGTGACTTCGCAATCCTCGTCTCCTCCGGATTTTCCATCAAGTCGGCCGTTTGCGCCAACTTCTTATCTGCCTGCACCACCTACCTTGGAGTGATTCTCGGTCTGCTTATCGGTGAGGTGTCCACCGGAGCGCTCTACGTCTTCGCTATCACCGCGGGCTTCTTCCTCTACATCAGTCTTGCCGACATGGTACAATTGCACTTCCGTTTTTCATAATGTTTATGGCAGGCATTTAGTTTGCATTTTTTTATTACCCATTAACACCCACGCCCACCGTTTTAAGCGAAGGTGACAATCCGACCGCGCAAGTCATACGATGTCAATTCTTTGTACAGGAGTTTAGAGGCTAGGTTAGTCAGTCCCTTATCGAAGTTGCTTCCTATCTACAGAGAGAGATTAAACAAACTGCAGTGCTACCACATCAAACGCGTGTGCTCGTAAGGACAATTGTGTCTTGTGACCCTTAGCCGCATTTTATCTACTCCGATAATGTTTACGCGCCGCTGTGTCATCTGTTCATCCGTTGCGCGTATATTTATTCCAAACCTCTCTCTCTCTCTCTCACCTAGACGCCGAACATTCGGGAGGCTTTGGAGGAGCTGGAGAATAAGAATAGAAATTCCTTTTACCTCTTCCTCGTTCAACTGGGCGGTCTGATCGCAGGGTTCGGGTGCGTCGTGGGTATCACCCTAGTCAGTGACTTGATCACATTGTAGCGCTCAACGGGTTAGCGTATTCGGTTCGCCCCTTACCCATCTCTTCTCTATACTTGACAGTACAATTTAGCCCTCTTTTAATGATTCATCATTTGTTAGAAGAAATATATTTTACTGCAGGCAGAATTTTTTGGAATAGGTTTGTGCTTTTTTGAGGTCAATATTGCTGATTTGGCAGGTGAAATAGTCTCTTGTTGGTAATGTTTTGGGCAGGGGCACTTTGGCAAGCTTGCCTGTGTGTCCGGCGTGTGTTTACTTCTAGGTCAGGTTCTCCCCTTCAGCGTAGCCATTTTGACACTTGAGGCGGAAACGTCATTAAGGGAGGTCGGGGTAAGGCGATATTATCCATCAAACTACAAAACAGACAGTTGAAGGTTGTACAGTTGGGCGCTCCGCTCACCAGTGATCTCGGGCTTTGCCAAAACGGAATTTGTAGTAGGTCAGCGTCAACGCCCGCTGCAATCAAACCGTAAAGTCGCAATGCGGCTACCTGTGGAGTTCACTGTGACTGATAGCCGAGGAGGGGTGAAGAACATGAAATATTAATTTAGCGACTTCTCGTGGGCGGGAAGTCACCGTTTTGAGCTTTTGAGGAAACTCACATCCACGGTGTTACAGGCCAAACGAACATGCAGTACTAGTTGAGACCAAGGTCAACTGCACTCCTTCAAATGTACGCGTATGGATGTACTTGACAGCACCAGCGTTGCCTTTGTTCAAAATTGACCCAAGTAGAAAGTCATTGGGAATGACTGTTCAAGCCAAAACGGGACTTGCTTCCATTTGGGGTGTAAGCTATCGTCCATTGTGGCTCGGGTTCTGTTGACCAAGTTGGTTGAGAACAGAGGAAGTGTCTTGTGGGCAAGATCGTGGAAACCCCCGATGGGAAGCTCGACAGTAAGACATTGGGCTAGTGTCACCGTTTCGAAGACATATCTACGTAAGTTCGCCAATGAAGAGACGGATCTGTAGCAGATGCCAGATCACAGCCTCAGTAACTGTGCCTGTAACGTACAGCCGACCCGTTGAGACAATTCCGCCGAGGTTATCACGGGGTATCAAGACGGGCAGACCATCTTGAGATGAGTCAGCCGTCCTAACAAGGTTCCCACTGACAAAGCTGTCCCCCACGACTTAGTTGAACACGCCTTTTGGTCTAGTTTGGAGGCTCCTCGTAGATTAGCCCAAGAAGTGATCATATGGAAGAGGAATTACGGAGGTCTCTTAGCCTCCGTGAAGGTGGCATGAAGTCCTGCTAATGGCACCGAGGCCAGCAGTTTCCCACCCCACTTCTTACGCCCAAATACCTCAGATGAAGGGGTTAGGACATCTCAAATAACGTTCTACGGTGTTTAGTAGTTCCCGCCGTCTGGAGTTCTGGTTTAGTGACGGTGAATAGGCGATGCATTTGAGGGGTTTGAATTAAAAGACACACATGCTACAAGTGATTGCACGATTTCTTGGTGGCGTTTCGGAGAGTGCCAAGTACGTTCGCAAACATATCTCCTTCTCATTCTTGTGTTTGGCGGTGACAAATGCATTTCAATGCGTTGTGCAATAGGTGTGAACTTCGAGGAGAATGGACCATTCGTCGTGACTACTGGTTAGCAAATCTACCTTCACCAGTCATTACTGTCAGAGCAGCGCAAAAGTGGAATTAGTAAGAAAAGGTTTCCTTTTGAGAGGTGAAAACAACACCTTTTGAAGTCTACGTGACGGCACGCATAGTGTTGCCAGGCGACGGAGCGAGACCTGCGATGAATAAGTTGTTGCAAGGATTTAAAGTCCCACGGGTAGATGATAAGGTGGTGATAAAGAGTCGATGAAGGTGGGAGGAGGAATGTGACCAAGGCGGAACTGCTACGGGACTCCGGAAGCTTCCAGAAGGACGCCAAGAGTTGTGATACCCAGTGACGCCTGGAACCCTGTACACGCCAAATTTGTTACCAGTCGCCTTCTCCTTCTCGGCCACGAGAAAATTTCAAAATCCCAGGCTGCAAACCACCTTTCATATCCATGAGATAACAACCAAGACTCTGTCCCGATCCCACCTCTTGTAGGGTTTGATTCACCCTTGACAGTGAAAAAAAAGTACGTCTGTTTATCACGAATGCAGTGTGATAGCCAGTGTGGATGCTGTCACGTGAGCGACTAGGGAAAAATTCCATTGAAACAATCATTTGGCGTATGTTAAGCTTAACTAATTTTTTTTTCTAAAAATTCTTTTATTGAAGGAGTCTTGACATGAATGTGCAGAAACACCAGGAGTCTGATTTGAACAGGTGACCGAGCCACTGCCATGAGGGTGGAAATACGATAGACTCAAAGACCTGACAAAATATCATAGCTAAGCAAAAAACGGGTTTCTGTACTACTCGCTGCAACAAATTTTACAACTTTCCCATATACTTAGGGATAAGAGAAGCACATCTTTTCCTAAAAAAAAGGATAAAATGCCATGATGATTGTTGATTTCATTTATAGGAAATTGCGTTTTATTCTATCACTGGCTTTGATCTCATCCACGGGTAAAGCAAAGTTCTGTTATTTTTTTCGTTGCGATACAAAGCCCTCCAAATGGCACACGGAAACCATACAAATATGTTTTTTTCCTTCCCTTTGGTGAAAAACTTTGCATTCTGTTTTTTACTTAAATTTGCTTTTTCATAGCAAGAACTTCAGTGACCTTCAAGCGTATAGTTGACACGGAGTTACCTACTTTGTCACGAATAAATTTGTCAAGATTATCGCTTGAGTGAAAACTCCTGGGAAATTTTGAGTTTAAACTAGCAAAAAAGCTATTCACGCTAGGCCTAAATGGATGAAACAGGTGACATTTGTCAAGCCAGTGTCATTTGGTGTGGTACTACTATAATGCATGAAAGGAACGTGGCAAATTTGTCACCCTGAGGGTGATACAAATGGCGAACAAGTAAAATATAATGAAACTGATTAAACAAGATTCCAATCAGATTATTTTGTGCATAAAATTGGGGAAAAGTCTGACTGTTTTGGAATGGAAGCTACGGAGTTTCGCGAGATTGTGGTGCTTGTTGCTGGGGTGGTGCGTAATGAATCATCTTGGCCAAGCGGAATGATGACGTTGGCGCCAACCTAGCCATCCCTTCTATTGTTTATCCAGCTGCCTTCATAAAATGAGTAGTTTTTTGCCACAAACTCACAATTTTTAGGGGCATTTTATTTGTGCTTGTTATGCGAAATCAAAAGTCCTGAAATTCTTTGCGTCTTTCACTTTGACATGCCGGGACGAATTGTTGTAGCCTATAGTGAACTCTCAAAAATACACTTTGGCAGTTGCTTATGTGCGCAGGTGGGTGGGTATCAAACTGCCGGTTTGATAGCCTTTTCTGTCCTATGCACCACCTTTCCCCTTCTTACGAACCCACACAGCATCAGCTAAACTTGATGAGTGTGACTGGAGATGGTCTGATTTGTGACAACACCCTGTCGCAAATACAGTGAAATGACTGAGGGTAAATCATTTGACTCCGGTGGTGGGTTCTTCAAAGATGGACGCAGTATCACAGTGTGGAGGAGCCTCCACTCTTTACACTGAAGAAGTCATTACGTGTCGGCATTAATTTGAGCCATTTGAATGGATTGATTGACACCGACATCAATGAAAACTGGGAAATGTTGCTGAAGCCAAGCCAATGGACCATGAGTATCACATCCAATGATGGATGACGATATGAATAGACGACGTCTTGGATTCGTATGGCCGCATGATTGTTTCCTAACCAACTGGCTAACTGATCTGAAATGATTTGGTCGAGTAAATACCTGACTGATCAACAGAGTTGCGATTAGAAGAGATTTCCGTCTTTCATATTCCAACAGACATCTCCAAATGCCCCACTACTTACTACTACTACTCACTACAAAGGCACACACTACTTCACATTTACTACGCTTTGTCCTGCGTGTGCATGTGTGAACGTACGTTTAGGTTTATGGAGCGATACAGATGCAACGGTTGACGATGTAGCCATCACCTTTCCCAGGCCAAGTAATTATGGTTGGCATTCGCCACTCCCCCACAAATCCAAGGTGGGCATTAAAAAACCTCCCGCCTCTCTTCTCCCCATCTTCTTGAGCAGTAGTGAAGACTAGTGAATTGGTACTAAGAGGCTCCTCCACTTGACTTAATTTCATACCGCCAAACTTATCCGTAAAAAGTTCTGCACTTCACGTAGAATGGGATTTTGGGAAGAGAGGGGAAGACAGAGAGATTAATTTTTGCCTCGTCCTCATTCATAGCCATTTGGTTATCATTTGCCCTTGGGACTAAGTGGGTGGATAGGTAGGAATTAAGGTGGTCAGGACTTAGGTTTTTTCCTTGGCTTTAATGAACAGGTGCCACTCAAATGATACTAATCCCTGCTTTCATTGTGCTATGTTTCTTTTGCCAGCCAAAAATAGCACGTGTCTGGACGGATCGTTTACTACAGGTAAAGTCATCGCCAATGGTAAACGGGTTCACGAAATGCTCAATTTGGGAAGAGCTATACCTGCTAGACAGATACTGGTACTAGACGGTGTAAAGGAGTCTCTCTGACGCCTCTCCGAGTTGCAATAATCCGGTGGTAATCCAGACTGATATTAGAACAGTTTGGAAACACCATCGCGTTAAGAAGAAGGAAGGTGGTCAGGCCAAAACTGTGGTAGACAAATGCTGTGTAGCATTGTTGCCTTGAAGGTTCTACTTCAGTCTTAACAAATTGATGATGTGAGTCTTAGAGGCGGCAAACCGACCACCGCAACGCTCCACATAATTATTTCTGCCACTATTCTCTCGTTCTGAACTCAAGCAGGCCGTCTGTGACACTATTCGGTGAAATTATTGTCCATAAACGGCTAAAGAACCCATTTCGCGCGCGCGGCTCTGTTTGTGATAGTATTCAGTAGTGTGAACAAGGTCTTCACTTCTGCCTGCATCGAATACAGAATCTTACGGCCGTCTTTGATGGTCGACACAG